TTCCTACAACATTAAGACTCTCACGAATTTGAACTTAAGAAACATAGGAGTATGTATTCTGGGTCAGAGTTTACCCATTCAGTGTCCTTTCTCAGGTAGACTCTCAACCTATTTATGGCTTCAGGATTTTCTAAACTAATCCTACTTGTGATATATTTAGTAGGCCCCATATGCTTTCCTTCCAGCTTCCATTTGAATTCTGTGTCCACTTTTGGAACTCAAAGCATCTGTCTGCAAGATCTTCATTCTAAGTTCCTCTTACGCAGGAAAAAAAAAAAAAAGAAAAAAAAATAGAACTTTCTGTTGTTTGTTCTGCATCTGCCTTCCACTACTTTCTTTTGATGCCACTGCTTCTTTATTGGGAAGAGAGAGCCACTCTTTGCAGTTGTACTCTCCAGGCAACTCATTCTGTAGGCACAAATTGTATCTTCTCTCGCTTGGCTGTTTTCCAGTCCATTTCCAGGTCCATTTAATCATATGGAATCTATTCCATACTTTTAAGTATGCCAGTCACACTTTTCTGAACTTGAACTTAAACCTTATTTAACTTGGGAAACAAGATCTGCTGACAGGATGTGGGCAAACTATACTTACACAAATAATAATGTTCCTAGTCTGTTTCTGAAGTAACAGTAGCTGTCTATGTCTTTCTATGTCTACTTCATCCACAAGACATGCCTGAAGCTCTACACTCCAGAAGTAAAACACTTTAGATGCCTTCAAATGAGCTTTGATCATTCATGTCAGGAAGATATAAGAAATGTACACCTCCTACTGTACTCTTTATGTACTTCTTCTGGAGCTGAGTCAGCTTCTTTCCTGCCTCAATTCACAACCTGAACTCCAACCTTACCCTACCATCACTTTTCCTGAGATTCACATAAACTGTGGAGCTCACAGCAGGAGGTGGAAATTTTTTAAATTGCTCTCACATGTACCACCAAGATGAGCCTGAACATACCCAAAAGGACAGTATTTTTAAATAGTATTTTTGGTACTGATTTACCAAATAAGAATAGAATCATTAAGTATTTTGGATACACTTAATAAATGCTATCTTCCATAGTGTACATCTGCATCTCCACAAAAACTAGATGAAAAGCATGGGGTCTTTGGTCAGTAGTCCAGTACTTCATTGCTTGAGAATATCATAAACCTTCAACAGAGAATTTTATACTGAGGTCAGATAAACTAGCTTTTCCACCCCTTTACAGCTGCTATCATAGCCTGAACCACAGGCAGTAAAAGCTGTCTGGAGGGCAGATACATAAGCTTTCCACAACAGCATGAACAACAGAGACATCTGCTTATTAGCATGTTGTCAAGTCATGCTCTCAGTTATATGATGGACTGTTATTTTTCAGCATGGTGCTGTGTTTTTCTTCTGTGATAGGCCTTTAGGATCACAGTATGTCAAAGACATTGTCTCACTGGGTGAGTTAAAATTTACAAGGGTATGTCTCTATCCTATTATCAGCATTTTGCAGACTCAAACTAAAGCTAGTGCTGTGTCAGCAGGTTTGTTATGGATCTAAAAGGGGCGATTTCTTAAATTACAGGATAGAAAGAGAAAATAAAATTAGTGTCTCTGCCTCAGCTGAAAGAAAAAATAATAACTGTTTTCTCTTTCCTTGAAAAAGTTCTCACACTAAACACGTCATTTTCTCGATCATGAACATCAGCATTAGAAAATGAACAGCCATCTCAATGATGAGAACATTTAACAATTTTGTGAGACTACATAATCCATAATATTAGCCTTCCTTTATGACAAGAAATAAATGTCCCTCGTAATTTTGTCCACATACAGTCAAAGACAAATAAGAACTACCAGTAAAGGTTTTTGCCAATGATAAATGCACATCTATCTGACAAGCTCATGCAACATTCTTTTTCTAATATTGTTCACAAAGTTACTTTGGCTATTAAAATTTTTGTTTGTTTGTTTGTTTGAATGCTTTACCACTACGTACTAGCACTCTACAAAACATATACTAAAATAAACAGAGAAAATATGAGACAAGAAATTCCCCTTCTGTTTAGACTGAACTACTACACAAAACAGAAAAGCTCTCATTATTCTGTGGAATAGAATCATAAAGCCAATGTTGGCAATCTCAGGAAGCACTCTGCTTGTGGAGAAGCAATGAGACTAGAATTCTTCTGAGACTATTGAGGCATGACTCCTCTATCTTATCTTCAACTGTTCTGCACAAACTATTGCCAGCATGAGTGTCAGATAACAGTTCAGTTTGAAAAATGTCAGAGTATCCTTTCACCTGTATAGCTCCAATTTTGAGCTATATTAGCACCATTCCGGTTAGTTTCCTGGCCTGTAATTCCACTGTGCGCCATCAAAATTCAGTTCTAACCAGTCAGAGGTGGCTACTCCTGTACCCAAAGACATCTTTCTGCTGCAAACTTGTCAAGAATGATTTTCCAAACTTTTATCTCAGCTAAGACAAGAGAAAGGAGAAAGTATTTGGGGGGCAATAAATGGCCCCCAATGGAAGAGAGAAACAAAAATTGTCAATGACATAACTTAGGATTCCTGTGATCACACAACCATAATATCTGGTTTTGCTAAGGAATTTTTTTTCTGGACAAAGGTAAAAGAGATTGAATCTGCACTGCTGAAATATGCAGTATTATGTAGAGTTTGATATGTGGTACATTGTTACCTCACATGAAAAAGAAATGGAGTTGTTCAAGAAGTTAAGCTGGAAAAGTGTGTGGGGTAAAATAGTTCATACCAGAGGGAGAGCCAAAGACAATATTCTAAAGGAGATCCTGAATGATCCAGTCTTAATTCCACTAAAGTTTTAGATCCAGCTATGATTCAGTCTACTAATATTGTTACTTTCATTATGAGCTTGGAACTAAAGTGTGTGTTAATGAAATTTTCAGATGGTTTAAACAGAGGCTTTATTAAAAGAGATGCAGACTGGAATATAGAAACAATTGGATGAGCTCGCATATTGGAATGCAATGAAATTACAAACTAATAAACAAGCAGCTGCAATGACAGAGCTCATTAGCTGGAAATATTAGTCTATCGGAGTACAATCAAGTGGCCATGAGACAACATACGTAAGATTCTAGTATAGATTATGTAAAGTTCTAGAAGTTCAGTACTAACATAACAGTACATAGCAACTGACACACTACAGTTTTGTATGCTATTTAAGAGAAGCCCACACTGACAGAAGAGATCATAATGGTTTAAATGGACAAGCGTAACTGCTTTCTAGAGCTTTGTCCATGAAGGTAGGGTGCACATTTTGCAGCCCCTCTAACCATTCATTCATATCTCTGCACCTATAATAGCCAAGAAGCATTGTAGCGAAGACCTCTTCAAGTACATTCTGGTTTAAAAACACTCAGGTGCTGTATATGCAGATTGTCTCACCAAGATTTGCTACTATGGGGTATTGCTACACACCCCAGCCTTTTCAGTTTATCTGAGATTCATGGTTGACACTTGGAAACTTAAGAATGGACAAAAATAAAAAAGGATCAAAATATTGTTTGTCGTAGTTGAAAATCAGCCCACAAAATAAACCACTCAACCGAAGTACACCTACTGATAATAAACAAATCTAGACTATACTTAATACGTACAAACTGTCTTAATTGGTCTAGATATTTTGCATATGATTCAACGTGAGTCTTAAGAAGTAGCCCACCATATGAACCGTGTTTCAGAGGAATGAGTCTTGTCCCTGTGTTACAGCCTTACAGTATCCCTTCTTAAAGATCCCTTCCAATTTTAATCAATCAAGGAGAGGGAATATTCAGAATTATCAAATAAGTACTTGAGAATACTGCTCCTCTTCATTAAATTTAGTATAACTGCTACATTGTTGCTTTGTTTTTCCAATTATTTTTTCAAGACTATTTGGATGTTTAGGAAATATTTAGAATTTCGTAGGACTATAAGCTCTTAGGAACGTGATCTACTCCTTCATTTAGGAAGTCGAGTGAAATGCTACTTTAACTGCTCTTCCCTTTTTAGATGTAACAGACCTTTCTACACTTTGCAGTATTCTGTAATTTTCATGTTGTACTGGCTGTACAGAAATCACTCCACCTTATGCTACAACCTCTGTTTATGTACACCATGAAATTGCGCATCAACAAGTCTAGCAAGTCTGTTAAGTGGGCACTTACATTAAGTTTATTTATTCTGCCATTCATTGCCATTTGCAGGAGTTCATTGCCTCACAAGAGCTAAAACATCCTCATGTATTCAAACTGATAAAATAGTAACTGCAAAAATGTATTCCTACTTTCTGCAAATACGACGGGACAATGAATGCTAAGGAAGAATTGAAAGATAATATTTTCATAAGGACTACCGACTGCTCATGAAAATATGAATTTTTGCCATTAACAGAAAATGAAGTTCTCACAATGCCTGAAGCAACTGTGAGGTCAAAATTTCATTTAAGACAAACCAACATACATTCATCGGATACTTTTGGTATTGTACGTATTTGTCTCCATCACAAAAAGGTGAGTAACCCAAATGCAGTGTTCTTTGATGTCTGCTCTGGTAATGAGCTGCACCAGATTCCTATAGTCACTAACCTTCACTGTCATCACCAAGTAGGGAATAAGAGCATACCACTCTAATTGTACATTTCAGCATATTACCCTCCAAAATCTATTTAGAGACAGAATTTTCTCTGCTCACTAATTTCCTAACATTCCAGCTTCATTACATGCTTTCAAAGTCCATTAAAAACTCACAGATGTTTCCTTATTCTACCCACAGTTTAGGAACGGCTCTGAAGGAAGTAGTAGTGTAGCACCTTTATTTTGCATCTCTGTTGCCACAGAACACATCCAGTCTAGCCTCGAATGCCTCCAGGGATAAGGCATCCACAACCTCCTTGGTCAGCCCGTTCCAGTGTGTCACCACCCTCCGTTTGTAACACCTCTCCTCACGCTTCCGCCCGCAGCCACCTTCTCATCGCCCCTCCCGCCACAACTCTCGCTCCAGCCGTAGGCGGTGACCCGGCGGCACCGCGCAGGCGCGGCAGAGCCAGGCAGCACCGCGCAGGCGCCGCGGAGCCGCGCGGAGGAAGTTTGAACGGTGGCGGGTACCGGAGCCGCTGATGGAGTCCGTGCTGAAAGGTAGCGGCCGGGCTCTGCTGGGGCAGCCTCCGGGGCTGCAGCGGGCGTCTCCACGCGGCCTTCCTTTTGGGGCTGTCGGCCCTGGGGCTGCGGTGAGGGCCCGGATGGCGGCGGTCTTCTCGTTCCTGTGCGGCCTTCTCTGGCGTGGCTCGCCCCGCAGCCGCAGGAAGGAAAGGGACGGGGCGGGCAGTGCCGTGCTGCCTCGCGGCCGCTCCGGGGTCCGTGTGCCCGCGCAGGCGGCTCTCGGTTTCGGCGGCCATCTCTTCTTGCCCTGCTGCTGCTGCCGCCGTCCTCGTGACGCCTTGGGCCCCGGCTCGGCGAGCCTTGCGTCTTGCGAAATTTCTCCCTCATTGGGTGACCCTGTTGGTTGTCGCATTCACACTACAGATGCCACCTTTCAGGCCTGTTAACCTACCTCTTTCAAAGCCCTTCTAGCTCAAAAAAGTTCAGGACTTTCTGGCTTTCCCTTGTATCTGCAATGCAAAAGCTACAAAGTGTTTTCTTCGTTGTTTCCTAAATGGGGCAGATACTGTAAAGCATCCCTTTGGTCCTACGGCCAGTTCGTGCTGCTTTGAAGAGAACTCTCTGAGTTCCCAGCATAGCATTCACTGGTAGGTGTGGACTGCAGCTGTGAAGGTTTTAAAGCATTTGATGAAGAAGAAGGAGAAGAAAACCTTGGTTGTTTTGGATGCGGGCACAATATTTTTTCACAAAAGAACAGCCAGCAAAAAGCTGTCCTGGTCAAGTGCTAAAATGAACTTGGGTGAAATGAGGGAATTGGTTAGGCTTATGGTCCCATCAGCATCTGAAGTTAGAGCACTGATAGTCATTTATTTCCATCTGATTTGGCTAAGGAGGTGTCCTAGGTTTCCTATTTCTTTTATAGATTTAAAACATAAGCACTAGGATAGGCTCCCCAGGGAGGTGGTTGAATCACCATCCCTGGATGTGTTTAAAAACCATTTGGATGTGGTGCTCAGGGACATGATTTAGCAGAGGGTTGTTAGAGTTAGAGTAGTATGGTTAGGTGGTGGTTGTACTCCATGATCTTTAAGGTCTTTGCCAACCTGAGCGATTCTATGATTCTAATTTGTAGCAATTAAAAAAATATTAATCTTTATGAAAGTACTGCAGTTAGAATGTAATTGTCTTTTACGTTTAAGAACATGGATGACATGTATGAACTTCCAATTCATTAGGTAATGTATGTAACTCCTAAAGAAATGCCACCTACAGCTACAACAGATACAATAACGTTATTCAAAAGAGCAAGTTCTTAAGTATAAAATATCAAAATATTGTACTGCAACATAGTTACCACCATTAGATATACATTTTGTCAGTGATGAACAAGAATCTGCATGCCGCACATTGGAGGTGACCCACTGTCACCGCTACTGAAACGTGCCACTCATAGTGCCCACATCCACTGTTTGGTCTCTATAAATGTTCAGCAAGCATCAGTGAATGCCAGTGGGTGCTTTTTTTTTTTTTTTTTTTCTCTTTCTCCATGGAAGAATTTAAACCTTTGCCTCATACACACTCCCCATCAGAGGAGATAGTTAAACAGTTTTTGCTGAGGATGAACCTTTTAAATTTAAATCAAAGCTTTAAATTTTATTCCTGAGCTCTGAGTGTCACCTGGCCTGCAGTTTGCTTTAAGTTGGTTTTGATGAGCTGTCATTCTTCCAGTTTTCTGGAATTTTCCTGATCTGCTATTCAAAAGGGGAAATTGGTATGGCCAATGCGGCTATAGGTCATCTGAAGTCACACTAGCAAAGGGATTATTAAAAGTTTCATTTGCTTATCCTTCTGTGTCAATACATCTAGGATTGTGGGTTTTTGTTGTTGTTGTTGTTGGTTTGTTTTTGTTTTGTTTTGTTTTTTAATTTTTTAAGACTTACTGAGCCAAGACTATTTTATTCCTTAGAAAGATTCTTAATCTGATTGATGAAGTAAGCTGCTTACGTGCAATATATCTAAACTTCTGTAAAGCAGGTGATGTGAAAATTCATTAGCCTTTGTAATAGATACTTAATTTCAAGGTGATTTGATGTGTTAAGGTGGAATTTTAAGTCAGTTGGGAATGGTTATTTCTACATATTTTTATTGAGGTTTGCTGAAAGGGTAATTCCATATTTATTTCTACATCTTCTGTAGTTTGTGTTATGACTTGAAGATTACTTGAAGATTAGCAATGATTAAAACCAGCCATGGAAAGATACTGCTTCGCCTACTGAGTTTGTAATGTGTTCTAAAAAGTGAGAAATTGTTTAATGAGTGCCAATCTTACTAGTTCATTGCAAGTAATTTAATGGGCAGAAATACTCAAAAAAATTTCTATTGGTAATACCTGACATATTGTTCAAAGCTATTCTTGCTATTGAGTGTGTATGAAGGGAGTATTAAAGTAAATTATTTTCTGAGGGACAATTTAACTAGTTTTACCACAGTGCACTTAAATATCTATTGTTTTCCCTCTTCTGATTCCAGGTATATGTGCATTTGTAGAGGTTTGGTCATCGAGCAGAACAGAAAATTACTCGAAAGCCTTTGAGCAGCAACTTCTTGATATGGGAGCAAAAGTAAGGAAACTATTTTGAAATTAATACAATAGGAAAAATCTTAATTACAAACTTAGCTTGTTCTGCTCGAGTATTTCTTTGTAGAAGGAGATTTTAAAGGGTAGGAAGGAAAAATAATCATAAACTTGAGAATATATGATTATGCTTTAAGGTTCTTATTAGTGGCAGATAAAAAATACGTATAAAGCCTTCTTAGGGATACATAAACTTCCGTGTCTGTTAATATGCTGTGAAGTATTGGTCTTGCTCCATACTGGGGACAAACCAAATCTAAATGTCAAAAACCTAAGTCATTTACATGTTGCTTTCTTTTCTATAACTTGTAGGCTGCTGGTCTGTTGTTACTGCAGTGTTTTCTAACCTATGTACTGTGACATTCTTCTTTTCAGTCTCCAAGAAATGTAGTTCATTTGTAGGAAGTGCTTGTAAAAATACATCTAAGAGTCTTTGCATATGTCTTGGTGACTTTTCCACATGAAATATATTTGGGTTGTAGATGCAAAATTTAAACTAAAAACCAACCAAACAGGCATCTTGCCTTCCTGCACATTATTACTGTTTAGTGGAGATTTTTTTAAAGCCCACACTATGCTCTAAATAACACTTACGTGAACTCCCAGTGCCTTATAAGTGGGCACATGTAGATGTATTTCATGTATCTCATGTCATCTACATATGTAGATGTAATTTAGGAAGTTTTGCTAATGTCCCCAAAGCCTCACTTTTTGTATGAATTTAGCTGAGGTAGCATGACAGAACAGCAGAACAACTCTTTTTATTGTAAAAGCAAATACAACTCACAATAAATAATTTCACTAATAAATTCTTTTGGTGGTGTTTTGTTTTTTTTTTTTTTTTGGCTGTGCTGTGAAGTCTATTAAATTATGTTCTGATGGCATTACGTTTTACTCATGAAAAATGTGATAAGGCTTCACAGTTGTATTTTGTTGATCTGAAAGTAGCTTGATAAGATAAAAGGTATATAGGAGCTCACCTGTGGAGCTAGGTGAGACTATTGAGACTATTCACCAGGACCAAAAAGGAATGATCCTGTCCCTTCAATATTTAACTCCTGGCTGGACACTATGTTACCTTTTGTTGGGCTGAGCATATGGTAGTGTACTGGCTTGGCTTATCCTGTCAGGAAAGAAAATTGTGAATTTTTGTGTGTTTCCCACTGATGGTTGGTTCAGATGTACTAAATTGAGGCCAAGTGATCAATGAATGACCTCCAGGGTCAGAGATGAGATGAAAGAGAGGACTTCTGCGTGTAGCTGTACCTTGACTGATGGCTTCATTGTGAGAGGGAGGCCTAAGGTAGTGATGCTCCATAATTTGGTGGCAAAGCCTTATCAAACATCAAGTCTCCTTAGCCTGTGGGCTAAAGCATAAGCCTGGTAGCTAGAAATGACAATACATTTGTATCTGGGAGTCATACATTTTTCTGAAAAAGACTTGTTTTTCCTAGATACTTACATCTTATGGGTGTTGTCTTTTGAAAAGCAGTAAATCAACTTGCTATCAGAAATGTTTGGAGAAGCTGAATAGTTTTATTAAAGCCAAATATAGTGATGCAATTGAGCTAAACATCAGAGAGCTACACGACTTCTTATGTCTTATGTCTGACTGTTGAGGAGATATTGCTGTAAAATGTGAATTATTAACTTGATGATTTTGGTGTATTCACAACAAGTGAACAGTTTTATATTTAGAAATGTTGTTTGTAAAAAGTGGAACATCTGGGACTGAAAGCATTAACATTTAGTTGCTATTACAAGTTTATAACGGAAGATTTAAGCAGTTTTGCATCACAGTGAAAATGTCAGTTGTGATGTTAGCTATGCTTACCTGAGTTTCCTGTATTTCTCACCCTTGTTTTTAAAGTGTTCTCTCACAGTTGTTTTTTGGTAGCAACAGCCTTCCTCAAAACTAGAAGTGGTTACTATTATTGAAAATTAGTTTAAAAGATGACGTTACCTGTATTCTAAGTTTGTGAATTCTTTACTAAATGAAAGACGCAACTGGCATTTCTTTGGATAGTGGCAACTAACTTCTGTACTGATGGTTTCATAACAGTTTCTGGCTACTTAAACAATAATGCTGTAAGATTAGTGATACAGAAAGAGTAGGGAAATGGAAATGGTAGCACAGAGAAAAGAAATTATGAAAATAAAAGGCTACTGTAGCCCTCCAGCCTGTTTTGCATTGACAATCAGACTTGGGCTTTGATTGCTTCGGGCTTTTTGCAAATACAGAAAAGATCAAAGCTATCCTTGACATACTGTTTAGAATAAGTTCTTATGCTAGTGTTTCATGCAAGAGAAACAGACCACTCCATCTAGTTTCATTAATATTTTCTGATTTTCAGACTCAAAGATGAGCTCTCTGTTTACTTCTGCAGGTTTCAAAAACTTTCAACAAGCGGGTCACACATGTAGTCTTCAAAGATGGACATTCAACTACATGGAGAAAAGCACAGAGCACCGGTGTAAAGATTGTTTCTGTACTCTGGGTGGAGAAGTGAGTACTATAGAGCATAATGAATGTGACCTATTCCACAAAATTCCACAAAAACGGCCTGTTTTTTCTTATGTACCTGAAACATTGTTAAGTCTATGAGTAAATGATAACTTTCTTATGACATTTTTTCTATTGTAAAATGTGTTACTTCTACAGACAGATGGTGTGTTATCTATTGAAAATGAGTGTGTTGAATTAGCTGCATGGTATATTTGTTTAGTGTTCCACTCCTTTGCTCTCAGATGGCGTGCATTGTCAATGAAGACAAGATATTTATGCTGAAATGAGTTATTCCATTTCCATACGAAAAAGTGCATTTCATCAGGGGCAAAAATGGAGGAAGTATTGGTACTGTTTCTCAGTCTCTAGACAAAGTATCTGTTAGCAAGAAAGAAAAAGATCTCTATGTAGTCTGTCTCTTAAGACATTTGTCAGGTTCAGCATGGCACTGCTTGAAGATTCTTGACTACCGTAAGGAAAAAGTTATATTAAAAAAAACAAAACAGCCAAAAATTTGAACATCACTGCCTTTTTGTAGTCCGTGGCATCTCCTCTGTGTTTAAGAAGTTGTTGAAGCTTAACTTAAATTTCTGATAAAGTTTAAAAACATACTACTGGTTTTTAAGAATACACATATGTTATATTCAAACATTCCGATTCTTAAATTGCTGTGATGATGGAAATTAGAATATAAGTGAAGTAAAAGGGTCTTTTCTTATCAAGTAAGTATCATGTGCTTAGAGAAATAGCAGTCTGAATAAGATAAAACAGCACAGTGCTGTGCAGCTTTGAGATCAAGCTTTTATGCCTCAAGAAACTAACTCTATCAGGATGCCAGTACCAAATGAAAAGTTGTGACAGTGTCTAGAAGGAAAATGTAAGCTGTTCAATAGGAAACAAAAAGCTAGCATCTTCCTGACATTCTTAAAAGTATTCCTAGCATCAGAGCAAGGTTTTGGTGTATATCTTCTTGTAAATGGAGAAATCATCTGATGTAGAAGATATAGAGATGTGCTTTGTTGAGGTGGGAGCACTGATAATAATGATGAGTGAATAAACTTCTTTGTAATCTTTCTCCTGCCACACATCCCTGCTTTTGCTGCCTGTGCATCTCCTTCTTATCCCTCAGTTTGACCAGCAAGCCCTTGCTCAGCCATGCTGGTTTCCTGCTTCCTTAGACTGGTTTCTGAAACATGGAAATGGTGAGCTCGTTTGATCTCAGAACGGTGTCCTTAAAGAGCTGCCAGCTCTGTTTTTGTCCATAAAGAGAGCTTTTCAGGGGATTCCATCCAATAATTCTTTAAACAGCTGGAAGTTCACTTTTCTAAGGCTCAGGGTTCTGACTCTGCTCTTTGCCAGGCCTGTAACTTTCAAGATCACAGACTCAACCAGGGCATATCACTACAGCCCAGAATGCCTCCAGTCTTAACCGTTTAATGATGTCTTTTGCACTGGTGAGCACCATTTCCAGTAATGCTTCCCCTCTGGTCAGTTTGTCTTATACCTGGTCCAGGAAGCTATCTTCAGTGCACTCCAGGAGTCTCTTGGATTGCTTGCAGCCCACAAGTGTTGCCTTCCTAGTAGACATCAAGATGATTGAAAACTTCAATGAAAAAAAGAGCTGTGAGTGTGATGCTTCTGGTTGCTGAAGTGAGAAGGCCGTGGATGTGTTCAGAATGATGGCAGAAAATGACATTGAGAATGACTGAAAGTATAAGATTATTTTCTCACAAGATGTGATTTGAAGAAACAAGAATTATCCTGGAAAAGAGGCAAGAATGGCGAGTCAGAGATCCCTCTTTCATATGAAAACAAAGGTTAATATAAAGATGCTGAACAGGGAATGAATGTATATTATTCCTTCTCTAGTAGAAGAATTGGGGAATTCACATGAATTTGACTGGAGACAAATACTGAGAAAATAGTAGATGATTTTTAGCAAGATGTAGTTAGGCCGTAACTCCTTGTAGAATCAATATAGACTGCAAAGGTTTATGTGGATTTTAAAAAATCCTGAAGCAATTAAGCAGTTTTATCAGAAAAAAACAAACAAACAAATACAATGTTGCCTCAGACCATCCTTATACTATGAATATGTAGCAAAGCAAAATGGGAAAGTTTGACTGTTTTCTTATATGCTCTTGGGGATTGTGATATTGATACTATGTGGTATTTAATCCAGGCTCTACTCTTTGATATTTGAGCCCTAAAAACACCATACAAGGAAGCAACTCATCAACAATTACTCCAGCATTTCCTGATTATTCTACTTTATGCCAAGTATTTTCCCACTTGACAGCTGTTGAACCACTACTTATGAACCGTTCTGCATGTATTCCACTGTTATGTTCCCCTGAGTAGTACATAAGCCTTGCATAGGAGCATGCCCTTTGACTTGAAAAACTGTAGTATTTGCTTTTCTTTTTAAAAAAAAACAGCACAAATTATTAGTGTCAGGGCCTGTGTGAACGTTGCCTCTTACTTAAGAGTGCTCTTGCCAATGATCTGCCTGAGATAAAGCTTCTGCTCCATGGGCATGCTTGAGCATAAACTGAATAAATGTGGTTCCATTGTTTAACAGGAATTAATGTTATCTGGAAAAAAACTTGATGATCCCTGACATTTCAAAAAATTCATAAATCCAGAATACATTTCTTAAAAAAATAAAACCAAACAGGTTTAAAATCATAAACTAGATTTTAATAATAGCCACAGAAGTTTAGCAGGCTGATTATCATTTTTAATTGGTACTCCAGACAACTCTAAACTCTGTGTTAGCATTTACAAATATGATCATTAAAGCGATTTGACACTAGGTGTCACTAGAATCACAGTCTTCTAAAGGAATTCTAGTAGTCTGCCAAGGTTTTGGCTCCTTTTCGTAACCAGTTTTATTACAGAAAGCATGGTTCAAGAATGAAACCTTACCAGTTCTGACTAAAATATATCTTCCATTAACATGCTGATAATCAAGTTCTTGTCTCAACATCATGCATAATGTGCAGGTATATGATAGATATGTATGATATTCCAAGATAGCACGAGTCCCGCTAATCTCAACTCAGACTTAAAATTATTTAAAAAGAAATCGAGGGGTGGAATATCAGTTTGATTACTTTTACTTTTTTTTAATTAAAAAAATATAGAGATAGCTTTACTTCACTGCAAGGGGCTGATTTTAGCATTGTATATACAAAAAGAAGACAGAAAATGAAACTAATTGGTAAGAATTCAAAGCCAGGATCAGATAAAACTCATGATCTTGTTTACTAGGAGCATTATCCTTTCTTTTCTTATTTTTCCTGACATACTGTAGTTTGTAGTTGAGTCTTTACTGCCATCAGGATGACAAATAACAATTAAGTATCTCATTAGCTACTGCAGAATGAAAACCTAGAATCCCCAGAAAACAAAAAAGATGCTACATCTTCCACTCACATGACTTGGTCCAGATTGACTTCATTCAGTGATTTTTGAATGTGTGAGGGAATAGTATAAGTGTATTATCTTTAAGCTTTAGGGCACCAATACAGCAATTTAGAGAACACCGTAAGGACAGAAAATTGTCATGTCCTTTATTTGATTTGTAGTTGTAAAGTTGTTGGGGTTTGGGTTTTTAGCATTGCAGTAGTTATGCTAAGAATACTTGGAAAGGGTTTAATGAATGCTGAACTCAAGTAGTTGTTTTTTTTTTTCCAGCAAAAGTTCTCATTCTTAAAAACTAAATATGACAGCTCTATTTTATTACACAGATGTCGAGAGACTGGAGTACGTGTTGATGAATCTATGTTTCCTGCAGTATACAATAATGAGGGCTTACCACTAAAAGTGAGTAAAATTCTAATAGCCTGACCTCGAGCATTTGAACAGTTGATTTTCAGAGCTTCCTGTAAACTCTGAGTAGGTTTTGAAAGATAATAATTGAGTGTTTATATTGGTGTATAAAGAGGTGAAGATTTAAACAACGACAAAATGATCTGCTAATCCAGATCAACTAACAGTAGTGTACCTTGTGTTTCACTGAGTTGTGACAAGTACTAAAATCCTCATTTTGAGGAGGAAAAGGCACAACTTTTGAGCAGTAACTTTGCTACAAACAAACAAGGAAAAAAGAAAAAAAAGTTGATAGCTTCATCTCCCTTTTACTAAAATCTGATTAAAAATATCTATTAATCCTTTGTCATTTCATATTACAATTTGTTTTGGAAAATGTTGACTTTGCAATTATGTAGAACTGTTAAAGAAGTGATTATAAACCAGTGTTAAACACTGATCATAAATACTGTGTTAAAATGGTAGGGAGAAAGGAAGTCTAGTTAGGAGAGGTTTTTACCATATACTTGATAGTTTTACATGTCTTCTAGCACAAATGTATGCAGCCAAAGGACTTTGTTGAGAAAACTCCAGAAAATGATAGAAAACTGCAGAGAAGACTGGACCAGATGGCTAAGGAATTAGCTCAACAAAGGATAGGAATTAATGCAGGTAAGAATTTCTTTAGACTAGTATTCAAATATCTTAGTTATTTCTTGAAAGCCCTTAAAGTGAATGAATTTTTGAGGATTTGTTTGTTTCTTTCTTTTTATGCTTTTGTGCACATCACTGTAACGGATAAAGTTGCTTTATATTTTACAGAATTGTTTGCAAATTTGTGTTTTGTTGGAGTTGTTGTTTTTTTTTTAAACAAAGCAGTACTCAATCTGAAGCTGTTGTAGTACAAATTGTTATTAGAAATTATTATAAGTAATTAATAATGTACAATATTTTTTGCATAGAAACTGATATACCGGTTTTACTGTTTGAAGATGATGGTTCACTTGTGTATAGCCCTGTTTCTAAAATAAGAAATCAATGCAGTGAAATGGAACGAAGAATAAATGAGATGAAGGAGAAAAGAGAAAATCTATCTCCTACAGGTAAGAAGTTAAACTTTATTTATTCATGAGCGTACACAAATGGCCACCATTTTTATTGCTGCACTTTTTGCCATGCTTTTTCTGCTGTCTCTCGGATTTACTATTACTGTACTTTTCTTGAAATATTTAATTACCTAGACTCAGAATGGAAATATCTGAATAGAATTGTGTAAAATAAAGCCACTGAAATCAGTTAGCATTAATCATTATGTCGGTAGCATTTTGCGAGACAATAGCCCATAACTCATGTGAAATGAATGCTTTGAATCCCACTAAAATGCAAAGGGTTACTGATCTAAATGATGCATGCAGAAAGGGTGCTGCTTCATTCTTTTACAGTCTGGAATTGGAGCTGTCACTATGCCTATTTTGTACCTGATGCTTTGTTTTATGATTTGACCTGAATGCCTCTTAAATATGATGATTGAACCTAAAATTTAAGTATATTTTTTCTTTCTAAGTCATTTGGATTTGAACTGATCCTTGAATCTGTAAGTTCTTAAAACTCATCTCTTGTGTATATTCTGTGCATCTGACCACCGTAGCTGCAGGGTCACTGCACAGTACTCCCTTCTTCTCAAGTTTTGCGTTTCTGTATTGAAAGTGATATAAGATGACAAAGAAGACAATTTTAACAAAATGGAATTTCTTAATCATAATACAATTAAGGAATAATAATGACTAAAATAGACTTTTAGGTTTGTAATTTGCTATTATAACTTGGTTGAACTTTATAGCAAGATTCTAAATCTTATTTCCTATTAAATTCTAATGTGAATCCCATAGTTAACAAAGATTGTAATGTTATTACTTCCACACCAACAGTTTAAAAAGGAGTTCCAAAATGCTAAGGCACCTGTTCACATGCTGAAGAATGGGGTTTAAGTAACAAAAAAAGAGCTAAGTGAATAAAAACCAAATGACTTGAAAATGCGGATCTTGGTGACTTAAATCTAGACTCCAGTTTTCAAATAATTTATCAGTGCTTGTGTTGTCTCATGGCAGAGAAAAATCTGTAGCATTTGAAGTTTCAAGAAACCTGTCAAATAAACTGTCATTTTATGCCTCCAAACACAATTTTGAAAGGAAATTATAGAAGCAGTTATACATTGATGAAAAATTAAATCTTATTTATTTTAGCATGGCTTGTATTTGTTTTTTCTTGCATTTTTAAGGTAATACTTCGAAGGGTTTTGAAAAGCATTTCTGCTGTATGGAGGCATCTCTACTAGCTGTGGAAGTTACCAGATTCTTTTGTTAAAACATCTCAACTGACTTAGAAGCACCCATAATATTTCATCAATAGTATTCTTTCATTTCAGAAAAATATGGTGCCGAGTTTTCTAGAAGAAATTTGATTCATTTGAAAAACATAATAAATTTTTTGTGAGTAAATAAGTTTGAGATACTGTTAAGCAGTCTATAATTAGTTGTCAAAGCACCCACATCTCTTAAGATTGAACTGTTTTTGAGATATGAATAGATGCTGTAGAAACTTGTATGTCTGCACGTAGAGCTGACTGATTTATCATTTGCAAATTCCTAGCTTCCCAAAAGTTTCAAGCACCTCTATGTTGCTCACAAGGAGACTGCCCATTGTCTACCTCTGTAACTAACTCAGAAGACACGTTATTGCAAGGTAACTATCTCAACTTTACTTACATGTTAGAGAATTTAAACATGATACATGATCTGTATATCTTATTTTAGTATACTAATCTATCACCATTCAAAATAGGACTTTTTATGTTTGTTCTATTATTTATATTTGAAGTTGAATTATTTTTGTTTTCTGCTAATTGGCAGAATATGCAGGAGTAAGAATTCAAGGAACTGGAGCAAGAGAAGTCACACTGTGTAAATGTTGTGCCTTACTGCCGCATTGCCTGTGTCACTTTCTTGTGTGACAAGTAATTCTATTCCTTGTTAGTGCCTTCTTGTTCTGGCCTTCTGTCAGTTTACTGATACAGGAATTTTGCAGCACTGCATTAAGCTCCCCAGGGAGCCACCATCCCTGGATGTGTTTAAAAACCGTTTGGATGTGGTGCTCAGGGATGTGATTTAGCGGAGGGTGATTTAGAGTTAGGGTAGTATGATTAGGTTGTGGTTGGACTTGATGATCTCTAAGGTCTTTTCCAACCTGAGCAACTCCATGATTCTGTGTATGGAACAAAGAGCTTAGTGATGTGATGTGAAAACAAAGTGAACTGAATAAAAAATAAAACTCACAAAACTGATCTGTCTTATAAATTTTCAAATGAAAAATCTGAAAACCTAATGCATTCTCCAGCTTAGGTATTCAGAAAGTGACATATATTAAGGTTCTTGTACTCAGTGCTTTAGATTTTAGCGCCTGTGTTTTGAGGTAGTAGCAGGACATAAGACAGAGAATGATTGTGAAAGTTGTTAAGCTACATCTGTGGGTTTCTTAACAACATTAAGAAATAATGTCCACAATGTGTGGTATACTTCATACTGCATGTCTACTGTCAGAACAAAAAGATAAAGATGGATTTTAGTAGAAAAGTAAGAAGTCAGCTTTTGGAATTCATAATGAAGACCATTTGATTGGACTGCCTTCTTCATTCTCCTCCACCAGAAAAGTGTATATCTTTTTTTTTTTTAATGTTGTACTGACATCATACAGAAAATCTGTCATGCTGTTTTATATGAGAACAGAGGCAAAATCATACACAGTGGTATCCTGACACAGCTAGATATGCCTTCATGCAATTTCAGAAAGAAGTAGTAATTTGATACTGGAAGTAGCATAACTATAGCACTGAACTCTTTTATCTCAGTAAATTGGTTGTATGCTGATAAGGTTAAACATCAATTTGAGCACTTTACCTTGAATATGCCCCTCTAGCATTACAGCTGCACTATAAATTTTTATATTACAAGGGCTGCTTTGAAAGTAATGATCTCTATTTTATTATGTTGGACCACGATGTGAGAGGTTGAACCTTCTCACTAGTACTCCATTACATTTTGTTGCCATGTGACAGATGGCAGCAGAGGGGCAGTCTGACAAAATGATGTCTGACATGAAGTGTGTCTGCAGCATACGTGTGTCACTGAATTCCTCCAAGTGGAGGAAGTGGCACCTACTGACATTCATCAGTGCTTGCTGAACAGTTATGGAGACCAAACAGTGGATGTGAGCACAGCAAGGTGGTATGTTTCAATAATGATGCTGTCATAGCAGCTGTGAAATACTGGGTCACTCCTGCTAGTGCAGATTACTATGAGTGGAGTACGCAGGCTCTTGTTTGTCGCTGGCAATAACGCACAGTTAATGGTGGTGACTATGCTGAAAAATAATGTGTTGTAGCTAAGAATTTGTTCTATGAAATAGTGTCCTTATGCTCTTTGTATCTGTTGTAGTTCCCATGGAAATAAATAGGAGCCTTTACTTTTGGAGCTATCCTCTATATCCCTGATGATAGTCAGTGTAGTTTCCATCTCTGATAGTCAGTCATAGTGACCCTTTGTTTGTAAGGCTCATGAGAGTGCGTTGGTTGACATTTCAATTGCAGCTTAATTCAGAATGTACCAAAATATGCCATATGTTTAATTCATTATTAATATTTAGTGAGGAAATAAGATTGCTGTTTTCCCCGAAACCTACAGCAGCACTAACAAAGGGAGTACTGCTGAAACTTTGCACTCAACATACATTTGTTGTAAAAATAGAGTATAGAAAATTGTATGGAACATCTGGATTCTTAAAACTGTATTTTCAATAATCAAAGATGCAAGCCTATTTCAGAGGAATTTACTGTGAAGAGTTATGAATGGTTTCTTGTTATTATCTCCCAAAATAATTTCTTTAGAATAATTGAAATATGTTATCTTTTTCCACATTGTTTTCTTTTATTACAGTACGTAGATTGTGATATTATTGTGTATTTAATTTCTTCATAACTCTGGGAAAACTGCAAGAAGATGAGCAAAAATGATTATGTGGATTCCAGCTAACTCTATCAATATAAAATCATGCTGCTTATCTCACACACTAGAGATTTTCTCTGCTTTGTTTTAAGTTAGGGTTTGTAAATAACACATAGGAATACATGATAGTAAAACCTATTGCAGCTTCTCATCAATATACTTTGTTTCTGTTTAATGACTTGGTCACTGAACAGTCAGGTAAGTGGCTATATCTTTGCTTTTTCTTTTCTATAATTTCATACGTGTTTCACTTAGAAATTTTGTTCTGTTTCTGTTTTCTCAACTGTTTATTTTGCTACTTTTCATATTTTACAGGAGAAAAAAAGAAAGACTGCTTAAACTCAAGCTGTGATGACTTTTTCGGAACTATTACATCAAAGAGACAGAAAAAAGACGTAGAAAACATCTGCGATACTCAGACTCATACTCACGTTTCTATGAGTGCTTCAGTGAATTCTCCCTCATGTGGCTGTGACCAGAAGAGCTTAATCCAGAAGCAATCTAGCAGAAGAACTTTAGGTAAAAAGCAGATTTTGCGGAATACTTTGCATGATAATTTGTATTTAGAAATAAAAGATCTAGAAAAGTTTTCAGAACAAAGCCATAAGGATGGAAGTAGAATGACTACTTTAGTTGCAAACAGAACTTATCTTCTACAGATCAAGGACTTGGTTCGTACTGCTCCTTCCCAAAAAACTGCTGAGTTAATTACTGTTAATAGTGCTTTGAATGACAGTCTCTCTAATTCACTTTTGAGCAGTGAAGAATTAAATACACATTCATTTGATAGAAGGCTCCCTTTTGGCAGAATTGATAGTCTTACAGAACACAGAAAAAGAAATCAACTACAAACACTGTCTAGCTTTAAACTGAATGCATCAGGGTCTAAAAAGGTGTTCTTGCACTGGGTTACTATGGATAGCAAGGATCTGTGTACTGTCGATGCTTCTTATGAGGACTTCTTTTTCTCATCTGATTTGAATAAAGTCCAGCTACAAGGTCTAAATTAGCCCCAGAATCCTCCTGAAGTTTCTTGCAAAGAATCTTTTAGAGGCATGGACTCAACTGATAGGTGTTTCTGAAAGCTACATACTATTTATGAGAGAGGTAGAAAAAAGTCTTTTAAAGCTAATTATGCTTTAATAAAGTAGTTTAAACTAGCTGAACATACAGAAAGCGTGCCATTAAATTTTATGTCTGATGGTGAAAAAGCTGAAATTGCAGGTCTAGATTAAATTTTGGGAACTATCTGCCTCAGTATGCCCGTGCCCATCCTACAGAATCAGCATGAATTGCCATACTCACACTCCTGTTTAGTCTATACATACAGACAGAAAACAATACAGTACCATACTGCATTAGAAGTACTTGTACAACTAAATGCAAAATGTCATTCTCAATGGAAAAATGCTTGAGAATTACACAAAAAGAAAAATATGCTGCAGTCCAGACTTTTACTTAAATGAGTGTGTAGGAGCCAGAAGAACACACATTTGTATTCTCATATACTGCAAGCATAAAGTCATCAGGAGAGAGGGAAATTGGCTTATGAAATGCAACCAAACTGTGAGCTGCCTTCTTCCTTTTACAGAATGCTTGGCGTTCTGTAAGCTTTATGCTACTATTCAGGCTGAAAGAGCTGGGTCTGTTTAGCCCAGAGAGGGGAAGGCTTTTGGGAAGCTTGTTCACTGCCTTTCAATATATAAAGGAATTTATAAGAAGTAAGGTGACACACTCTTTAACGTATTGTACCCTGGAGACATTTGAAGTCAGACTGGACCAAGCTCTGAGCAGTTTGATCTAGCTGTAGATGTCCTTGTTCATTGCAGGGAAGTTGGACTACATAACCTGTAAAGGTCCCTTCCAACTCAATTGTTCAAGTCTTGTTTAAGGTAACAAGTTCTTCATCCTTTTAATGTTATGATACTTGTGTAAACTGTCTACAAGTAACTATTAAGCATAGCATTCCCTGTTAAAATTATTCTTACTTCACAATTTAAAATTACTGTTAAAGGCACAAAATCTCTAATGGGAAATAAACCCAACAATTTCTAACTTTTGCTATAATGAAGAGTGATTTTGACATCTGAAGGCACACAGAATCATATAATACTCTGAGTTGGAATGGTCCCTAGAAGATTGAGTCTATCTCCTTCACCTGGGGCAGCTGAACAATGTGTGAAGTAAGCATCTCTTTCAGTTATGGCTTTGTTTATATGGGGCTGATCTTTGCTTTTAATAACAATTTTAAGAATATTATTTATACTTGAGCATTCTTAATTTAGTTTAGCATAAATTCTTCCAATGCAAATATATGCTAGAATGTTAAGTCTTGGCAACTCAGGAAAATTCTAGAATGAATCTGTGAAAACACTCAGTTCCGATAATTTTCCGTCAGGCAAAGATCTCGGGGAAGCAACAACGTTTTTATTCATTATTGCAATAGTGGGCATGTACACCCCTGTGGCAAAGGAGAAAACAGGCGCTTGATCAGCGACACTTCTCATTATACACTGTTTTTTCCTCCCATCACTGGTAGTTACTTTCATGTTGCCCTATTGGCTAGGTACTCCAGGTTTACAGTCTAAGCAATACATCCACTTTTCCATATGAAGTCTATCACCAGTCTGTTGTTTTTAGGATCATTCCATACATTTCTATGGATACAGGAGGATAATATTCCTTGAAGCTGTTATACCTGTTTTGTTCTGTACCAGGCTTTCTTACTCTGCTCTCCACTTTTGCTTCTCTTACTACTTATGAAAGCAGTGTTTAATTCTGCATTTATTTAGCAGTCCTCCCCTTGTGTATTCCTTCACAAAAGCTCAACATTATTCATGTTTTGATCACACTGGGTATTGCTAAAGCCTTCTGGAATTTATTTCTTACCCTGGCCAGGATGTCCTAGTCTCTGCTCTATTCCACTCCTCAACATCTTTCTTGTGAAAAACAACCTGTGCATTCATTATAACCTACACAGCCATTTTGTAAGAGTGTTAGAAGTTCAGTTAGGGCCTATACTTTGCTGTTGGATGTATCAATCGCAAAAACAAAAAACTTTCACAAAGCATCAATACATTATATAAAATTTATTATTTAAAGGGCAGAACAATTTTGGTGTCACGCTTAAGAAATCCATTCACTGGAAATATTACAGGGTAACTGTGTATTTATCAGTGGGAATTGAGCTGACTTGCTTTTTGGGTTCTTTACATCTGTGTACATTGCTATATGATATTTAACAAACAATAAAATAGATGCAGGTTTACATTATATAAGTGTACCCACAAATGTATGAACCCAATTAGCGTTAATTTTAAATCATGAATTCTAGTGATGAAATTGAGACCAATATTCTAGTCTGTTACACTTCTATTGGACAACTTGTTTAAGCTCACAGATTTTGGAGGAGAGGATTAAGGAAGGGTATTCAGCAAACAAAAAGTTACCAAACACTTTTCCGTTCAATCCTTTCTGGTTACAAGCTCATCTGAAAATAGAAGAGATCAGTAATAAAAATTGAATTGTATTTTCACTGTTAATGGAAATTTTGTGGAAGAAAATTAAAATTGTGTTTTAAACTTCTAACTGTGACACTGTAAAATGTAATCATGAATATCGATTAAATATGGTTTTAATAAGTTCTGATGTTTATTTTCTAATATTTATTTTCCTTATTTCACGTCCATGTTAATTAGTAAATAAATAGTAGATTGCTTTGTTTATATGTTTTACATGGTTTGAAAATGGGTAAATAGTATATTATTACTTACCCCTTACATATGTATGGTTAGGAGTGATAAAATACTCATTGTAAGATTGACTCAGTGGCTGTATATGTTTAAATATCTAGCATTTTTCTTGCCCTGTTTTTAAGTTAGTGGCACTCCTACAAGTTGTCTTTAATGACAAGATGTAACATTTGATAAGCATTCTCTTTACAGACTACTTTTACTCTTTGATTTTAAAGTAGAAATTTAACTGCTGGGTTTGCATGCCTAGATTTCTAGCAGTTGCAGGATGAGCAAAATGGTGGCTTTGAGTTTAAGCTTATGGGTGTACAGTGTTGCTGTTGTAAAGGTTGACAATCTGTGTCATTAGCAGATTTCCTTGTCATTCATGTTTTAAATCACGCCCAGCCTGCAGGTCACATGACAGCTAGAAATGCGGCCCCACAAGACTGTAAATTGTGTTACCATTATCACGTGATTTTAGCAATACTTTTCATGAATATAATGTGCGTAGCTGGAGTACAGACTGCATAGGCAGCAACAGAATGCTATGAGGGGAGGGCACAATACACTGTTAACTCAGCCTGTCACACTCACCACTGCACTCAATTGAGTCAAAACCAGCATGCCTTACATATGACACGCATGCCACTTGGTGGGTAAAACACCGTGATTGCACACAACTGCCTTTGTGTGTGCCCGTGAAGATACCAATTGTTGTCATTAAGCAGACATGTAAGTTTTCTTTCTTAGTTAATAAGCTTCAGCTTGTCTTATTGTGTATAACAATTTCATAAGTTAGTAAGTTAACGTGTTTATTAGTTTCACTAAAACAAGGTCAAGTATCCCACTAATTTTATGTTTTTGTTGCCCTTTTTTATGCTTTCATACAAATATTTTTTTTTAAACGTGGCCCAGGCAGGCCGTTGGACACCCATGTTATACATCAATTTACCTTGAAATCAGTTCGGTTTGCTTACAGACCTTTGAGTAGGGTTGATGATAAGATAAGTTGGCACATGAAGTACACCATTTAGAATGCTAATACTTAAATTCAATGAATTCCCATGACTTAATGTCAAAGCTGTAACAATAAATAATATTAGGTAAAGAGAACAAGACTATTACTATTATTTTTTTAATCATCCTAAAATCACTTAAAGTTGAACTGGATCTAGCATTATTTCCAGTCTTGACAGTATATTTAAGGCTTAACTGAGTGAATTTAGATATTTACAGTAAATATGGAGAGCAAGATTATCTTAGTTGGCCGAAGGACATGAAGTAAGATTAATTATCGTTTAGTAGGTGTTGTTTAAGACTGAAATAAGGAATTGGAAATATCATTATGTTATTTAGTACAAAAATGATCAAGTTTGATTTATATGGGTGTGTTTTACCTGAGGTTCTAGGTCTAGAATGTTGAGATAGGTGCTTAATTCATCTAAAATACTATGCATATCTTTAAAATTAAATTTAATTAATTAATATCATTTTACTTGTCCTTTAAAAACAGTGAGGAATGAAGAAAAGTTATGCTTGGTTCCTTGTTTTTTATCTTCACGAAAACTTAACTGTAATGTATTAAAACAAGAAGGACAAGTATTTCAAAATAGAGTTAAAGGTTATTTTGATGTTGAGTTTATAAAGTCTGATGACATTTGCCATAAAAGTATAGAATAGTAGATGTGGCGTAACTTAATTGCAGTGACACTTTAAGATATTCGTAAAGGAGAACACTACAGATAAAGCTTATAATAAATGTTTATGATTTTACTGAACAAAAACTAGCACATAGTATCTAACCATTACTTGCTTTCTAACTCAAAATATCAAAGGGATTTTTGAAGATAATATTCTGTTTCAAAACTTCTCACTGGTGATAAATGATCGTGAATGATGAGAAACTTAAATTGTAAATTAAAGCCATTCTGTTGTTGTAATTTGTTGTAATAATCGAGAGACATCCCAGTTATGAAGATGTTAATACCAGCCACCGAGCAATGTTTTAGGATTTAGAAGACCTAATCACACAGTGCCATGAGTTTGCTGATTAAATTTATGGATAATAGTGAGTACAGTTGCTTCAAAGAATTCTCTCAACCTTATCAGAAATGCCTTAGGAAAAGCTAATGAAGGTGAAAACCTTACTTTTGACTGAGCAACTGTTTCTTAAAAATAATAAGAATAATAATAGTGAGCAGAAACATGGGCAGGGGAAGTAGGAACTGGATGGCCACGAATAACCCTTACTTATGTAGTATGCAGGGTCCTTTAGTTAATAATTAAAAAGATGATGGACTTTTCCTGCTGTCTTGTAAATGCAGAGAACAAATGAGAATGAAGCCAAACTAGAAAGAGCTCCAACCATCACTGGAACTTTAATCCAAGTCTTTGGGTTTAAGTGGGGCAAGATTTAAGGTTCTTGAACATTCGGGTCAAGAGAGTGAAAAGGAATATTTGAGCACTTCTCACTACCCTGCCCCCCTTTCAGAAAAAAAAAAAGGAAGGAAAGAAAACAAGATGCCGGTGTATTGTCATTTTACAGTAAATTAAATGACTGGGAATTCTATTGGAATTTAACAGACTGATACCTTGTTTTTAACTAGTTTTCACTATGCTGTCCTCCTGCTTGGGGTGAAACAACGGAGTCAGTAGTCTCCTGACATATTTTGTGGCCCAGTATCTTTTACTTAAGATTAAAAATAAATATTTAGTAGTAGCTTTCTACACTCACATTTCCCAAACAGTGACATTTATTTTTCTTATCTTGTTTTTGTTGTGTGGCAAGATCTTTTGTCCTCTTTCCATCAGTCTTGCTGTATGATTGAAGATGATGGACCGTAATGCAATAACAAATACCTTGGTCACTTAAAAAGTAACACATTCTATTTGTTTCCATTGAATAGAATAGGCATTTAGACTTTAAAATATGGGTAATATTGAAGTAATGGCAAGATTATTTGCAAGGAATTGAATTTGGGTCACTTCAATCACTGTTTATTAAACTTTCTTTAAATGATGTCAAGTGTTTCTTTTAAATGAAAAATTAATGAATGTCCTAACATGGATTCAATTGAATTAAATTTAGGAAGAACAACCTACCTCAATCTTCAAAAATTGAAACTTTATCAAAAGATAGATCCAAGCTTTTTTGTCTTCTGCAAGCAAGTTAATTTCTCAAATGAATCCAGAATTTTATCATTTTCAAACAAAGTCGACAAATTAAATTTAGTTAATTTAAAAAATAAGGAATGAGAAATACTGCTTTTCATCATATATTAGAGTACCTTCTCATGGATGGTGCCTTTTTCTAAATAACAGGATCTATACACTTGCATGTGCTGTCAATCCTTGCCTGCTAACAGCTTGCTTGATTTGTTTACAAACTGTTGTTTGAAAACACATTTTGGACCCTCAGGATATTTTGGATAAAAACAGTGTGTTCTGAAAGCTCTCATGTTTCAGTAAGAAATATAAAAATATAGCACCAGTGCTTCCGAAATATTTCTTTGTGTATTCATAGAAATGACAAATTTTAAACAAAAAGCTGAGTTGCTCATTCTCTATTTGTGATTAATATGCAGTACTCAAAATATCAGAAATTACAATTAGTTTTATAATTAGTTTATTTAGAAGATGAGAAACTGAAGGATAAAGACAAGTGCTCGTGTGTCATTTTTCTTTTCATAACTGAAACAATGGAAAAATAACTGGGCTCCCCAGTACAAAAAAGACAGGGATCTGTTGGAAAGAGTCCAGCGGAGGGCCACAAAGATGGTGAAGGGCCTGGAGCATCTCTCCTATGAGGAAAGGCTGAATGAACTGGGTCTGTTCGGCCTTGACTTTTCAAGACTCAGAGGGGACCTGATCCAGGTCTATAAATATCTAAGGTGTGGGGGGCAGAATGGCGAGGCTGGACTCTTTTCAGTGGTGAGTGGAGACAGGACAAGGGGAAACGGCTGGAAACTGCAGCATAGGAAGTTCCGCGCAAACTTCTTTACAGTGAGGTGACGGAGCACTGGAACAGGCTGCCCAGGGAGGTGGTGGAGTCTCCTTCTCTGGAGATGTTCAAGACCTGCCTGGATGCCTACCTGTGCGACCTGCTGTAGGGAACCTGCTTTGGCAGGGGGGTTGGACTCGATGATCTCTGGAGGTCCCTTCCAACCCCTACAATTCTGTGATTCTGTGAACTGATGCAAATTTTTAACTTAGATTTTTTTTAAAATTGTTCTGAGCTCTATAGAGTGTGGCAGTTTCATTTCATGTTTCTAAATTTGTATTATGCTTGCTTTCTAGGTGATGAAAATTGTGTGTCAGAGTATGATGTTACTTATGGTTCTTGCAAAGTTTTTAATGAACAAAAAAATAAGCACAAAGGGATGGTAAGAAAAAACAGAAGACTCCAAAAGGTCAGTTTAACATATTGTTAAGTTCTTTTTGAAGAATCACTGAGTGCCTTTTTACCTACAAACAGAATATGCATGATGTATGTATGTTTAAAAGAGAAAACAAAAACATTTCCAAACCTTACTTTCTTTGAAATATTATGTGAAAGGTGCTCAAAAGCAATTTATATAGCCACTCAACTCAGCTTTCTGAAAACATGTGGTGGCAGTCATGTCACTGCATTTTTTTTTTCATATATGTATAGTAGATCATTCTCTATGGCTGTCTCTGAAGAACATTCCATATTTCTTCTTATATTCTTACAAGCTCTTATACTCTTATAAGCTCTTATATTCTTATCGCTCAGTCTGGATAGGAATAAACAAAGTGAGATGACTGGGTCAGCACTGGATCTTAAGTTTAATTTGTCTTCTGAAAGTTATGTTAGAATTAAATGCAAAACTGATAAGCAGGAAAATAAATAGAGTTTTTTTCATCAGTACTATAGTAGCAAGGTGTGCAATTAAAATGAACGCTGAATTGTTTAAAAAATGGGTAGTCCTAAGGCACTGACGATTGTAATGACATGAAACAAATTAGACAGATGTTTCATTGTTCTGTAGGTGGAGTTTTGAAGAGTTTGATCGATTTTTTTTAAATCCTTTTACTCTGAAGTTGTGAGCAGATGCCATTACCAGGCTGTTCAGCCTTTTAAGCATCTTGAAGATGGAATATTATTTTTCATGGCCCAGTCATCTGCTCCTGTTCAAAATCACAATTTGACTTCCTGCCTGTGTCTTATTGCTTGTTATTTTTTAAACTGAGCTGTGGGTATGTCCCTGTTCATTGCAGGGGAGTTCTACTAGATGGCCTTTAATGGTCCCTTCCAACTCAAACAATTGATTCTATGATTCTGTGAAAGTGTTCACCTTCTTCTTCTAAATACATACAGTCATATCAGTTGTAAAACTAATAAGAATTATATAGAACATATAAATCAACTTCACTCTTCATCTGTGTCCTACAATAAACATTTTCAAGAATGTTTCCTCATTAAGCTGGAACACCTGTCCAGAAAAGTTTCATTTCCTGTAACAGAAATCTTATGAAAGCTGCTAAATATGTATCCATAAACAGTCAGTGGCCGTAAGGCTGTCTGTGAGAACAACGCTTGGAGATTTGTTACATTTATTGGCACTCATTCCCTCTTCTGAGTGTTTACACTACGAGAGCATCACATTGTAGTGCTAGTTTTTTGTTTTCTTAATGAAGGATCCCAACATAACTATCACACAATGAAAAAGAAGAAAAAGCAATAAGAAGTTAATTTTTAGTTGTTACCCTTTTTCAAAGAAGAGTTAAAACTTTGGCTTTACAGAAAGTGGGGTGTTTTAATGTTTATCCTTGCTTTACTTGTTGCAAAGCCTGCTTTGTGAGGTGTTTGCTGGTAACAAACACTAAGCAGTAACTGAAGAAAATTCATTTCAGTGTTTTCAGATAGCTTCTTTCATATCCATCCATTTCACTGGGGTGATTTGATTTGAATGTCTGTGACACAGTAACAAATGCTTTATTTCTTTTTAAAAGTGTGAGATTATAATTTTAAAGGTTTCCAGTTGCAGTTTGTGCAAATTAATATTGAGACAGTGTTCCTTTTTTCCTGGTTGAAACACCAGAAGAACTTTACAAAGTGTGTTACATTTAATACACCATTTGACTGCACTGAAAAACAGCACTTGCTATTTTCTCTCCTTCCAGCAATTGTCTGTTAATCTGTGTTACACAGTTATTAATGTTCAAGATCTCTTACTCATAATTTATATGCATATGTACGTACAAAATATATAAAGCCAGTATAGGAAATCCCTAGGAAATTCTTATTGAAGAAATTTTAACAGGATAATGTCTTGGAGTGAACTATGCTAGGTATCTACATTTTTATAAATAACTAAATTGCAAAGCTTCTCTGATACCAGTCAAACTTCTTTCAGGAAGCTTCCTAAAACTCTGAAGACTTCTAATCATAGCTACTGAAATTACATAAATTGTAAACTAATAAAAGCTCTGAAGACAAAGCAGTTTTAATGACAATCCCAGACATGTTAGGGGAAGATAATAAATACTTTTAGGAATCTTTAATGGAACAAGTGTTTTGTTTAAAAAGAAGAAAAAAAAAAAAAGATAACGAACAGTAACAAGAGTTTCTGTGTGTTGTTAACATTGAAGTCTCTAAAGGAGGATTAAAAAACACGTTTTAAAAAATGGTCTGTATGTAGTTCCTCTAAAACTTCCTAGTTTTTAGATCAGTCACTGAGCACAGTTCCAAGACTGACATGCTCAGTCGATCAAGATATATACTCTGATTTAATGCCTGTGCAGGTGGCTTCCCTGATCCAGAAATGTCAGTGTATGATACTGGGTTGCGGGGATAGAAGCAGTCCTTTACTGTGGTACAGTTTTTGAAGTTTTCATGAAATGAAATGCATAATCGAGGGATAATTATTAAGTATCTTGATGGATAATTAAAATCGCATTTTGTCAGAGAAGGCAGTATGGACTTCATAGAATCTATCTGCAAAAAAAAATAAGAGTTCTTCCATGATAGTCAGGAAACATTGATGGTATGGACCAAATATCTGTCGCTGTAATTTTAGGTGTAACTGTTTTGATCCCAGAATGTTTGATGTTCACAAACTGCCATGTATGTCATATATGAACTAATCCTGAAAGTGCCTGACTAACATTAGCTGATGGCAACTGAATAGTTGATTATTGTTTAAATCTAGTTGTCTGCTTGGTGCAGCATAATACTGAAAATAGGAAATAAGATTTTGAGCAATCTGCATTGTGAGACAACACAAAAATAAGAGGATTTAATGTTATGAGTCACATTATCTTTATTGGAGTGCCTGAAATTGGCCACTGAATGGAACATTGAAATCCAACAGGAAAGTTTATTTTTACTGGCAAGACACAACTTATGATGTTGCCATAGCCAAAATGTCGCTGTGTTCATTAGTTTGTTTCAAACCTTCAGAATTTATAGTAATATTGACATTCAAAAGCAGAATATAAATGAGAAATGTTAGTTATTGTTTCATACAAATGGAATTTGCAGATACTCATTTGATAAGATTCAAGAGATACAACTTCCTCTCAACAAGTTCAGAGTGTTTCCTGCTTCCACAGGTACACTTACAGCTACTGTTCACACTTAAAAGTTTGCTGTTTAGAAAACTGGAAATGTACCAAGACAGTGATATAGGTCATTGTTAACTTTGCAATTTGGTAACTGGGAAATTGTTCCGCAGTCTTCCATACAAAAAAAAAAAAAAAAAAAAAGTGGATGCGAGTAAGAAAGAGAGCAGAAAATCCTAGAATCACAATTTCTGTGATGTACATCTATGCCATCTCCGTACTTTTCCTTAGAAGTCTATGGCATTCTTGAATCTGATGGTGGAAGATGGATTGAAGATGGATGGCTTAGGATGGCTTGACTATCTGAAACAAGTGGGTTACAGTCTTGTCAGCAGAGTATTTACTGAATTTTGCATTCTTAGATCACAACACAAAGCTAAAATTAATCCAGCCTTGATTTTCTGGGGACTTCAGACTGCTGTTCAAGAGTATATTCACCAAAAATCCCAGTCTCCTCGCTGTATGCTTGGCAATCTTCAGAACATAAATCAACCTCACCATGTCAATGATTGCAATGAGTGCAAACTCATTATCTAACAGTTGGATTAAGCAAGATGATTGTTTAATTCTTAAAATATTTCCATCTCTAGAGTCACTACAATGGAACTGTCTCTCTTTGTGCCTAGGTTACTTCTGTCCAGTGTGTGCATGTAGTAAATTATACATCAAACCACTGGGTTTTTTTCAGTGCATTAGCCTGTGCAGATACCTCTTCTTCTGATCCATCCATGATGTGTGTCCATTGACCAAAATGGAACAGATGAATGATGATGATTAAATCAGGCCGTTATTTTCTCTGAAGCTACTCTATTGTTGCAGATTGTCTTTGTAACTTGGTTTTTAATCTTGCAGTAAGGGCCCAAAGTATCCCCGCTCAAGATTTTTGTAGTTCTTTTAGTCTGACATATTCAGATATCTGAAGAAATTATTCACTTCATCAGATTTGGTAATGAAAGCTTAAATGGCTTTAACGTCTGAACAGACAAAACAGATTTACGCCTGTACTGTACTCCTGTACTTAAATTTTTGTTGAAATTGTTCAGACGGGCACAAAGTATTTTTGTTAAATTTAAGGGCAAGGAGCTGCATGAAAGGTTCGTGCTAATTGACTTTGAGATTTCTGGTTGCGGACAAAGGTGTGGGAAGAATCTTTGTGACTCTGCCTTCCCCCTTTGTCTGTTCCTGGAAAGCCTAAATCTCTGGCTTTACCAGATAACCCTATGAAACTGCAAAATGCTGTGAAATCCATCCTTTGTTGAAGAAATGAATACGACGTGGATTTTTTTGTTTTGTTTTGTTTAAAACATGTTAGCTATTACAGATGCATGTAAAAAACAGAAAATATCAGTTAGTTGTAAAGTGTGTCAGCATTAGGATGAAATCAGTCTGAAGCTGTTGATCAACCCTAATCTTGCCAACAGTATTTCTAGGGTTCTTTGGCATTGAGGGAAACGTAATTCTCAGATATATAATTTCATTTTAATTTTTTCTTGTTATAGTTTACATTGTGTGTGTTGTTTGTTGTGTGGTGTTTGTTTGTTGTTTTTTTTTTTAACCTTCCTCATAGTAGTTCTGATTTGGTTAATGCTGGTACATTTTTCACATCTCATTAGCACCAAAGCAGAGGTCTTGCATTTTAATCAGGAAATTACAACTGTAACTCAATTTGCAGACAGAGAAAACTGGAAAAATGTCGTTATCAAGAACTGATGATAACTGGAGTAAGGCAAACCAGAAAGTAAATTATAACTTTGAATATTCAATGTTTAAAACTGCCGAATAGAAATAATTCACTATAATTACCAATTATTCTCAGCTGTGAGCCACTATTATATGAATAGAATAAATTAACATAATTTATAGATTGTTTCTAAAAACAGCTTTAAAGTTTTGTATCCTCTCCTTCAAACTTTCTTAGTAAAACAAAAAAAGAATAAGTGAAATTAACCCAATCCTTGATAATTCACATGCTGCATCTGGCTCTTTTTTGGCTCCTGTACTTTTCGGAGGGAAGAATGTGACTCCTAGAATACAGCTGTTAAGATCAACAGAATGCATAGGAGTTCTGAATCTATTTCAGAACCATCTGATGGAGCTACAATAGCCAAAAAGTAAAAGGCTAGGAAGACTACAAAATGCTTGTCATAATGCTCTGGTACTCTCCCTTGCATTATATTTGCATATGAATGCACTTCTTCCCTTTCCCTCACATTCCAAAAGTCCTTTGTCCCTAGCATACTGGCCAAACTACGCATCTTGTTGAGTTCTGAAGTTGAAAGTCTTTTTTTTTCACCCATCATGGTATACATTTGATCTTATTAGAGTATTTCAAAGCCCATTTCTTTCAGAACTTGTCAAAGGTGTAAGAGAGCATTCAGTCTAAGGAATACACGATTCAGAAGTTGTATTTATTCCTTGATGTCCATCCTTGGAAGAAACCAGAGGTCTATGTTCTTGACCCAAACAACTCATGACAGTTTTTGAAAAGCAGGTTGTACAAAACAAGGCTTTTCTCTTATTTTCCTTTGGCTCCAAGAAGCACCTGCTTAAAGTTAGAAAAAGAAAGGAATACATTTTGAGGTTGGATGCTTCTTTTGTGATGTGGGGCAGTTCAGATACAGGATGTATCACGCTGTGTTTCAAGAATTGAAAAAAAATAACAAACACTGCTTTCTTTGAGGTACTGAAATGCATGTTATGTATTTCATAGGATGTGGAGAAATCTTGTTGACAGATTCTAAAAAGAAATATTTAATGCAACTGTAGTCTTAAGAAACATATAAAGGAAAGCGGAGGCATGTAAATGTTCTATAGGAGTCTTAATACAGCCTTCATTACAGATCTAAAACACAATCCAGAAATAAATGTGCTCTCATTTAGAAAACAGATGTGCAACTCCTCTTGATTGAGAGAAAAAATGATAAATTTTAAAAGGTCTTATTCATTTAATACCATTTTTTCAGAGTTGTATTAATAATAATCCTGCTTCAAATCTGCATTAGAACACATAGCAATGCTCACCAGATGTCTTTTTGCTAATCAGAAAAGAAAATGCTAACTCAAAACATATTTTGCAATAAAAGAAAAATGTAAAATAAAAACAGGCACAAGTAGCATTGAAGAAAAATTGCATAGCAGGAGAGGGAAGAAAGCAATTAACTTGAAAAATGTACTACTGAAAATTAAAACAATTTTGCTAAGTTTTCTGTTTGGTAACTGCATACAAGTGTATTAAAGAGAACCGCTTGTATAATTGAAGCAATAAAACAAAATGTAGAAAATGACCCCCCCCTTACTTGCAAAAATATGCAGTTTTGAATGAAGATGAAAAAATAGTTTGGAAGAAATTAAACTTATCCCAATTTCTACCTCCTGTATGCATGTTTCTGCATTCTTGAATCTTTGAATGGCGCTGATGACACTGACAAAACATCACACAGAACATTCAGTATACCATCTTGTTTGTTGTGTGCTGTAGCATAAAGGCTGCAGTTAAAAAGCAGAGTTTTCAGGGTCATGTCAGGTTGCAGGTTTTCCAAGTTGTGTGGGTACAGTATTTTCACTTCTCTGAAGATAGGTACTAAGGAACTTCTAATGAACATTTGTTCTCTGAAGCTGAAGAAACAGCTGTAGGATCTCAAATTGCTCTGGCCTTGGTTTATGTAGTAAGTCTTTTAACACAGCTTTGGCAAAATCAGTAGTCTGATTAATAATGTTTTCACTGTGTTTATTTTTTAAACATGTGAGAAATTTTTCTGCACGTTCTGAACAGGCACATTAGGATCTTGCTGTAGAGCTAATACTACACAAGGACCCCAAGAAACTTGTGCAATTATTTTGTGTGGATTTAATTCCAGACATCAAGTCAAAGGAGAACATTATGGTCATGCTGAAGCATACGTGTTCAGTATTGATTGGGTTTCAACCCGGAAAGAGTGGAAAGAGAATATGTTGCTTCAAAGCCATGTTCTGTGCCTTTATAGGATCCCTTAGAATTATAGATTCCAGGATCCCTTGAAGTTGTGTAGATCTAACAAAATGTGTTTTGACACTATGAGGTACATCCTCACTACTGTATAGCATAGCTCCTCTTGTAGTGCTCCATCCCTGGAGGTGTTCAAGGCCAGACTTGAATGGAGTCCTGGACAGCCTGGTGCAGTATTAAATGGGGAGGTTGGTGACCTTGCCTGTGGCACGGGGTTGGAGATTCATGATCCTTCAGATCCCTTTCAACCCTGGCCACTCTGTGATTCTGTGATTTCAAGCTTTTCAGGCTAGCAGTATGTTAATAATCAGCATTCCAAAAATACTGAGTAAAATTTATCCCAAATAAGTATTTCAATTTAAAATTTTCATCCTTTCATCATTTGAAGTTTTATTCTGTTCTATAATTGGTTATTTTTGCCTTTTCATAATCAATGTATCAAATGAACATTTCAGTTTGGAAGTACTGTAGAGCTTACTGTTGAGCCTTTACATTTATTTCTTTACATTTACATAATACTGTCTGAGCAGTTTTTTTATCATGAGTTTGAAAAATATTGAATAGGCTGCATAATTTGTTTCTCAATAATTTATAGTTTCTCAATATTTTATGGGATTTATGTTATTTATCCACTTCACCTACAGGATGATATTAGCATCTATACATTGTATTTATCATCTTTTTAAGTCATCTTGACCATGTAATGTTTCTGAATAATGTTTTGTGGAACGAAGCAATAGTGCAGAAGTAGAAGAATAGCAGAAAGTTTTTCACCCAGAGAGTGGTTATGCACTGGAATAGGTTGCCCAAGGAGGCTGTGGATGCCCCATCCTTGGAGGCATTCAAAGCCAGGCTCTGGTCCGCCTGGTCTGGTGGTTGGTGACCCTGCACATAGCAGGGGAGTTGAAACTGATCTTTATGGTCCTTTTCAACCCAGGCCATTCTATGATTCTATGATATTAGTCTTCAAATGTAATTCCAAAGAATCCATCTGTAAATAAGACAAATTGCTTGAACACTTAAGTGGACAACAACTCTGTACTGATAAGAGAGGATGGATGGTGTTGCATCATAATATCTTCCTCCTTCTGTTCTATGATTCATTGCTGAATCTTTCTCAAGTCATTTTTGAGCTGTGCTATCAAATGTAATCTCAGTACATTACAGGAAGCCAGATTTTAGTATATTGGAGTGAGGTTAGAAATGGAAATGAATATTTGTTATAGAGTGGTACCTAGACAAGAAACTTGAAATTCATGTCTTGATTTTTAAGATTAGGAAGAGTTGTCTTGAGATTATTGTAAAAGTCAATTGATCTACTTTTTCTACAAAACTAAAATGCTAACATATACATTATTGTACATATTTATGTAGTTACACGTAATCCTTAGGCTTTTCTTACAGGATTATGTCATGTTGATCATTTCATGTTTGTCTGATCGTTGTGCTCAGTTTATGTTTCTCTGATACTGGTAAATAATATTCTGTCCTACTTTTGTGCATGGTGGAGGCCTTATGTTTATTACTGATGATGGAAGGATACCTCTTCTTCTGTTTTCTGTAGTACTAACTCATGAAACAATGATTTAAAATCTGAGTGAGACACTCTTTGCACATAAGATAGGGGATTCTGCTGGGACTAAGCTTTCTAAGGTGACTCAGTTTTACTCGTGTATGCATTTTTGTAATCTTTGCTTTTACCTTGTTAATTATTACTCAGTCAACTTTTATTCGTTAGGCATGATTTAAGAGTGAAATAATGTATATTCTTTAAAATAAGCAAACTCTTGTTTCTTCAGTATCTCAGACAGATTTTGTCTTTCTTTCGTAAGAAATGGAAATCATTTTAAATTACAGGGTTTCTTTGTTGTAGTTAAGCTGCCTTCTCATCTCAATCTGATCAAGAAAAGAAGAAAGCAGAAGACAGAAAATACTAATTTTTTTTTTTTTTTTTTTTTTTTTTGTGCTGTGCTTGCTGTGCTACTCTTGAAATCTGTCACTTTGTTTTAACTGATGAAAAACTCCATTTTTGCTTTCTCCTACTGGATGCTCTGATACCAGACATTATGAAGGGGTTTCTTTCCTTCCACATCCTTAATGTTTAATATTTCTAGTATATATGTCAGTTAGTACAGCCTCTTCCCAGAATGATACTGTAATTATCAAGTAGTTCAATCCTTTTAATAGTACAGTTAATCAATTAAGTTTTTTCAAAGCAGAAATGTTTTCAGGCTTTTGATGTTTTCTTGTTTGCTTCATTTTTTTAGCCAACAAGGACACTAGTCATGACGAGCATGTCTTCTGAGTAAGTATTAAAAAGTATTAAGTATTAAAAAGTATTTTTACTTTCTCATTAAGTTTAACTTAAGTTTTTATAATCTTTTCATCTCTATACAAAAAGGAATTTGTCTTTGGGCCATACAATGAAGTACTTCATTCTGTCATGCTGGCTAGAAGTACCTGTGTATATCATTACTAACTACACTTTGTAAGAATGTGTGCGTATCTGTGCTGTTATGGTGCAGACTGGAATAATGTTTCCATTGGCCTGTAGGTGAACTCAGCAGGGCTTCAGAGCAATAAAACCAAAGTCAATCAAATTTTGATTTTTTTTCTCAAAGAACTATAAGAGTTTTTCGTAGTAAATAGTCTAAGGATGGAGTTCTGAACCTGGCTTTTTCCCCATATGTTATAACTGCTTCTATTAAAAAGACAAAAGAACAAGAAGTCTTAACGATCTGAAACATCAATTTAAAATATTGTCATTCATATCTTCTTTTTTGCTGCTGAAGAAATACCAGTTCTAGGCTTTTCAGCCATTTTGTTTCAAAACATTAGAAGCAACTGCAGCTGTGTGTTTGTGGAAGAGTTAATATTTTTCTGGCAGGCTCTTATCATTCTCTTAAAATTTTTACATCATAAAGGCGTCCAAGAAAAACAAAATTATGTATTTTCTACTGTATTTTCCTACAGTTTTTTGAATTATTTTTCAAAACTTAAGGTCTTATTTCTACTACCCACAAATCTCTTTCAGTGCTGAAGTAATTAAGTCATGACAGTTACATAGTAAGCAATCTGAAACAGTACTTAGTGGCAGTCCTCTTAGAAATACTTTGTAAGTGGTAGCAATTAACCAGTATACTACTATAAATGTCAGAAATGTAAAACAGCAATAGTATTTTTCTTGTATTTAATATGAGTTGTTTCTATTAATGCCAAGACTACAAATGCATTTTGCTAATCATGTCATAGAGGATCGTTGTGAGGGAGGGAAAGATAATAGCTACAGTCCTGATAAGGACAGTGGAAAACAGGCTGTGATGTACCTTAAAGGAGACCGCAGATCTTGACAGCAAGGGAAAAAATGTTCTTCTGTTGAAAGAGGTCGTTAATAAGTTACTTCTTTTATGTTGATATATGCTGACTTTTCCTAGAAAGTTAGCTATTTCATAAAATAAAAATGTCTGTTGATTAAAAATTTGCTTTTCTTCAGAACTTTTTCATCAATATTTTGCTTCTGACTGTCCGCAGTTAAAGGGATTAATCATGCTATAGTGAAGGTGAAGGTAAAGGAACTGCTTCTGAAAGAACTAAAAAGCATAAAATAGTCCTCAATAGGACTTGAACTGGCTCAAATCCAGTTCTAATATCCAGTAGCTACAATTACAGAAGTAGTTCATTAGAAATTTTAAGATGCATGAGTTCAGTGGTTTCATGGTATCGGGTTTTGAGAATATTTTCAGTGCTGCTCACTGATATGCAGCCAGTAGCTGCCTATTTTTCTGAGTCACAAATTTAGTGAAATTTTGCTGTAATTTTTTCTGAATATACTGAAATACAAACTGCTGAGTTTTCAGTGCAGTTGATTAAGATACCTTAGATTTGAATGATGTAGAAGAGGATTCTCTCCTCTCACCTAAGAAATTTCATATGGACAAGAAAGAACTATAGCTTCAGATATTGTATGGAGTTGCCTCTGCTGAGCATTTAGCTTAGGCAGAGTTAGCCTCTGTGGGTAGCAGTATTGCAAAAACTTCACTTGTAGGCACTGTCTAGTTAAAAGTCTTGTAATAGTGAATATTAAACATATAGTCAAGACCAAAATTCACACTTATCAGTGGCAGAAGTTAGGCAGTTAAGTCAGTGGTTCAGTTTTTAACTGTATCCACATATGCTATCACCATTTGACTTCTGTGAAGTTAATTTTTGACACTCTTTGTTTTTACTGTTCCTTTACTTACTTAAATTATTCATTCATTTATTTATTTTGAAGAAATTGCTACACTGAAGATGTTTTATTAGAAAAATAAAACCACTGAAGAGGTTTTATTAGAGTTCCTCTAAGTAGCTAGGATATTTGGGGATCTATAATTGAGCTTTTGATAGAGTAAAATGTAGTGAGAATCAAGTAACCGCAGAGGCTTCAGAAGATGTTCTGACTGTTTTCATTATACCTGTTTTTAACCTCAGTGTTTTACCTGTGACTTTGTTCAAGGTTGAGCTAAATTGTTTTATTTTATGTAGTAAGTTATAGACAATTTCAGTAAGTCAAAGGGAGGAAAAGAGAGGGCACTGGCATTCGGCTTTCCAGTATTATTTATAACAACAATCTTTAGTTAAATTGTTCTGATTAAATTGTTCCTATGCAATGGCTTTTTTCTGGGGATACCAAGAGCTCATCGTTTTCATGATGAGGTATTATGTGCCTCAGTGTAACCTACATGTTAGAGAACTCAACCTAGCATTCCAGTTATAGGTGGCCATTCTCTATTTTATATGGCAGTCCATGTGGAGGTAAATTTATTTAAAGATAAGTGATTTTTACAATTGAAACACTGACTCAGACATAAAGACATTAAGCCAGAACTTTAAGACTTCTCTCTAAAGTTAACATACAATTTTATTTGAATAATGAAAATATGGTACTTCCAAATGACATCCTTTGAAGAGTGCTGCATCCAACTGTTTACATTTCTTAGGAATACTTCTTTTTTTTTTTTTCTTTAAAGTACAACAGAAACAATCAAGAATGAGCCTCTGTTGTACTAGGCATTATACACAAACAGTATGTTAGATAATTCCTGACTAAAAAAGCTTCTATTTAAACAAGCAAGATAGATATGGGGTATAAAAGAGCTTTGATATGCAAGTAGATATGATTGTGTGCTGACAGAAAAGGGTCTGTTTGGACTCTGTGGAAGGGCTAACAAATTTTTGTCTAGCAAATGGGTCAAGTCTGAGCGAGGGAAGGATAAGAAGGGATTAGTGAGAAAAGACAAGGTACAAATGTAAGAAAATCTGAGATAATTTGTATGTGAATGTTTGCTTCCACAATCCTACCTATCCACTCAACATTGTATCTTTTTGTCTTTGTGCTCTTTTTAGGAAACAAAGTGTAGTAATTCAGGTGGTGAATAAACTGGGAGACTTCATGTTCTCAGACGATGTATGTGAAACAACAAGCCATGTAGTTACAGGGAGTCCTCGTCGTACCTTGAATGTTATGCTGGGAATTGCTCGTGGGTGTTGGATTGTTTCTTATGAATGGGTAAGAAATACATTCAAATTTTACTGCAAAATAAATTATGCTTATTTTGTATAGCTGGAATGTCAACCATATTTTTGTCCATGCTGTGCGCAATGTTGCAATGTTCAGATACTCAGATTTGGAGTTAGCTGAATTTGGGAAAATTTGTTTTTTTTTTAAAGCTCTGTGTTACTATGAATGTTGTCTTTCAGTATTTAATCTGACCAAAATATTCCTGTATTGTACCTCAATGTTTATTTTAGAAATGCTTGAAATCTCTCCATCCAATGGTACATGCATTATTTTTGGACTGATTAAATGCTAAACAAAGCATTTTGACTCAATGTTAGCCAAGTCACATTATTCAGTTGGAACTTTTTATATGCTGATTTAATATGTTTCTGTTTTGTTCTTAAATGTGTATTGTGTTCAACATTGGTAAACATGAAGAGGAATTTTTAGGTATTTTCCTGCATGATGAAAACTGTTTAATAATAAGGAAAGCTTGTATATGAGTAATTTGGAGGCTGTATAGTTTACAAAAATGATTCCCAGATATCCACATCAAAGAATCACCGCATAACCTCAAATTTTTTTCTGGACTGCCATGTCTTTACATGTTGCTGGTAACTGTTTCTGTAAATAGAAGATAACTGTGAATTGCCATGCTGCTTTGGCTGAGATACAGTTACATACACTTTTTTCATAGCAGCCCATATGTTTCCATGTTTTAGGCTGATGATCAAAATAGTGTTGATTACACATCACTGTTTTAGCTGTTCCTTAACAATACTTGCACAGCATCAAGACCTTCTCTTTTTCTGTCATTACCACCAACAAGTAGATTGGGAGAGGACACAGCCAGGATAGCTGATCCAACCTGACCAAAGGGATAGGCTTATATTATAGTCATATAATGTCATACTCAGCTGTAAAATAAAGAGGAAGCTTTCCTAAAGCATCCATTGCTTGAAGACTGACTGGGTATCAATTATCTGGTGGGAATGATTACATCATATTTGCATATTTTTTATTTATTTTTTAAATTTTATTTTATTTTATTTTTAATTATTTGCATATTTGCATATGGGGGTTGTACTTGGGGTTTTTTGTCTTTTTTTTTCTTTTCTTTTCTTTTTCTTGCTTTTGCCCTTCTAACTCTCTCTCCCATCCTGTTTTTGGGTTGGAGAGAGTTGAACAGCATCTAGATGGGAGCTTTGATCCAGGATCAAACCACCTCAGAGATCAACTGCAAGATAATTAATTTGACATCACAGATGACAGACTTTCACTTTTCCTCATATTTTCAGAGCTTCAAAATATAACTGTTGGAAATAGATATTCATCTACAGTAAGGGATTGTAGAATAACTAATTTAATTTCTTTGTTCCTTTTTTTTCAATAAATACTTTAAAATCATAATATGTATGTAGTTATTTAAAGAAGCTGTTGTGATATCCTTTGTAGTTTTCAGAAGTTCTTGGTGATTGACTTCCCTTAGAATAAAGGATATTGCATGTTTGATCACTCTAGTTAGCTAGTAATGTGCCTTTGTGTCTGAAAAAGACCAGTAGCATCTTTGTCTGCTTCATCGTATCTGTGCAAAGGGGTTCAGTTAGACAATCTGGTTAAATAAATGTCGTATGATGTATGAGCACTTTTATTTCCGATTATGTTGCCTTCCAGGGAGCTTACTTCTTGAAGGGAGCTTACAAGCAGAAGGAGGACTGACTTTTTACATGGTTTGATGGGTATAGGACAAGGGAGACTAGCTTAATGGTTTTAAACTAGAAGGAAGTAGGTATAGGTTAGATGTTAGAAGGAAATTTTTTACTCACTGGTTGCCCAGAAGGGTTGTGGCTGCCCCATTTCTGGAGGCATTCCAAGCCAGGTTGGATAGGATCCTGGTAGCAGCCTTTCAATATCTAAAGGGGAGCTGCAGGAAAGAAGGGGACAAACTCTTTAGCAGGGCCTGTGGTGACAGAACAAGGGGAAATGGCTTCAAGGTAAGGGAGGGTAGATTCGGGTTGGATATAATGAAAAAAATCTTTTACAGTGAGGGTGCTGAGGTACTGGAACCGATTGCCTAGAGTTGTGGTTGATGCTCCATCCCTAGAGACGTTCAAGGCAAGGCTGGATAACGCCCTGTGCAACCTGACCTAGCTGTGGTGTCCCTGTTCATTGCAGAGGAGTTGACCCTCAGAGGTCCCTTCCAACTCTAAGAAATCTATGATTCTATAATTCTAAGTCAGAAGCAAACTTTCAGTGACTTAAAATGGAGAATTATTGCTTTTGTGTTCCTGAAAACTGAATGTTACTGTTAGTGCTGACCTAATTATTTACTGCAGAGTCTGTTCATGAATCTGTATCTGTGTCTGATTTACTTTTTTATCTAGGAAGGTAGATATGGTGCCTTTGTACTCAATTCCAGAGCCACTATAGACGAGCATTAATCCCTATTCTGTTGAGATAAACAAAATTGATCTCTAAACGAAATTCTGTAAATACTACAAGGATTGATGGAGGTTATTACTGCAAAATTGGCCTGGAAAATAAAATGGGATTACTTAATCATAATTAATCTTTTGGGGTTGTTTACTCTATTTTTGTTTTCTATCAGTTACTCATAGTATAAACATCATTTCAGTACTATACAGACATGATGTACACATCATAGAGCTTGGTACATCTGTTGCAACTTGAGATTACTTATGAAGAAATTGTTTTCATGCAGCACGTCTCAAAGAATTGTGTTAAAATTTCCAGTTCTCTTGGTTCAGTTCAAGTTGATCATGAAATGAAATGGCTTAGATTAACCAGTCTATTTGCAATAAGTATATACAGCTCTAAGTATAAAGCTAACAGATTTCAATATTCTCATTGTAAATTATGAGTATTAGTTGTGAAAAAGTATACATAAGTGCAACTTAAATTTTATATCTTATAATGTTACAGTCTTAACTGAATGCTTTTAAATAAATGTACTTTTCTTGGCTAAATAGAATAATGCATTATTATATTTCAAATTACTTTATAAATCCTTGACTTGCTGATCTACTCCACTCATTTTTAGGTTTGGGATGCTATAATGGCGATAGAAATTATTTTCACCTTTTGCAGCTGTTGCATTTTCAAATATTTGGTTGTGAGTTTTCTGAAAGTAAACATAATATCACTTTGATTTTTGTAATAGTGAAGTTTAACAGTGAGAATAAATGAAGATGCACACTTTATTCCATGGTTGTCTGCAAAATTGAACACCTCTACTCCCCACACAAGTAAAACACTTTTCCATATCACACAAAGACTAGCTTTTGTAGCAGTTTTTTTAAGAGGTTGCGGGTTCCCTGTGTAGTGGAAATGCTAAGTCATGTCCTGAACCAGTGTTGATTCCCACCTGGTGGGAAGGCAGGGCCAACCCAGGGGAGTTCAGGTGTATATAACACACCTGACTGAACTGAAGGGGTGAAACTAGGATCCACACCTTCCCAGACCTCACTTTAGAGTTGGCTTTGGAGGTATAGGTATCTTCCTGGGGATCCTTGCAAACTTGAGGCCTTCTGAAAGTAAGCAGATTCTTTCCTTTGTTCTTTCCTATGTTCATACAGCTCAGCTGTTGCATTTGAGCAAGTCCTCTCTTGCTGCAGTGTAGGACCTTGCTGTTCTTCTGTCATTGCTGCTTTTCCATCATGAGATGTCCTGAAAGTTGTCAAGCATAAACTACTTTAGACTGCAAACTACACAATTTGTTTCTGAAAGCATTAAGATCACTTTCTAAATTCAGTTTGCAACTTGCCTCTAGTAGTACCACAATTTGGGTAAAACAGCTCTTTACAAGAAAGTCACAAGCCTAATTATATGTTGGGAAACAAAATTTTCATTACTACCTAACAATCAGTCTGCTTAGCTTAAAGTCTCATTTTGTGAGCTGTAATACTGTAAAGAATAACATGTATCAGGCCAACTTTTGTCCAAGTGGAACATCTCATAGCACATATTTTTTTTGAAATAAAATGTTATATGTTCATTGGAAACGAATAATATGTGGATTTGCATGGCATTTTATTCCAAAAGAATTTTTTTAAAAAGAGGGCGGAGGGGGGCAGGGGAAGTTACAGTTATTTGTGAATCAAGCATAGGAGAAATTCCACCTATTGATGAAATTAGATTTATTCTAAGATGAATAATGGCAGTTTGATGATGCGTGGCTGCGCTAACAGTAAGAAATAGACTTAATCTGTTTGAAATGACTGGAGAATTATTATGCAAATGGGAAATGATCCCAAGCACATGGTTTTACTTTCTCATGAAAATCCATGTACCCTATTTTTTCGGTATTTATATATTTCTTGTTAACATAATGCTACTTGTTGCTGTAGGAGCAGTAGGTATTAAGTAGTTACATTTTTAAAGTTGAATGTATAGATTGTCATTGGTGGATCGTAATTTTTTTTTTACTTGTAATTGAGGCTTGCCAAATGGTAACTACAGAAATGGTATTGGGAAATAAGAGTATCTGTAAAAGAGTAAGGTTGTTGAATTGTGTGATAGGGAACAATTTCACAAAGAATTTACAGGTCTTTTACACATATGGGAAGCTCTGTGGCATCAGTTCTTGCTGAAAAAGCCACTGAGGAAAATAAAATTTTCCACCAGCGTGCCCTCTAGAATTTAGGTTATCCAGAAATCAGTAGGAAAACACCATTGATATGACATCAATGCAAAACCATGGTAGGAACCTCTATCTTTTCCTGTAAGGATAGTCCTCTTAACAATGGAAGGGTAGTCACTGAACACTCCTTGCAAGATTTTTGAAATTATAATCTGCAACCCAAAATTATATATATATTTTTTAAAACCACTGAAAAAAAAAAATCAACATTAAAAAAAAGCTTTTTTTAAAAAAAAAAAAAGTTTATTTCAGTGATTGAAAACAACCATTTTAAGTAGCTGGTAAAAGATACCTAGAATGAGATCACAGTTCAACTACTATATTCACTTGCTCATAATCTGTGTAGAGAAACTTTCTACACAAGCAAGAAGGAGTCCCAAGGTAGATAAAAAAATGTCCCTGCATAGATTTAGTATTCATTAAGTATTAAATATTTTTTAAGTTATCCATCTTGTGATGGCCCTGATTAAGAACAGAAGTCTGAAACTTGTCCAAAGAGTTAGGATCACAAATCTTTAAGGGTCACATTCACATTCACCCAGCATTTCAGAGCTCAGTCAAATGCAAACGATTGTGTGTTTTCCAGACAGTCAGTACTCTGTGATGGTAGGAACCTTTTTATTTGCAGTCTTTAATGTACAGCTGGCAAAGGAAGTTAGCAAAGAGAAAGTCAGCTTTTCTTCTTTTCAGGCTGAAAAGAATGTTGCGTAATTCTGGTCAGTAGTAGGAGTTGATATTGGACATCTTCAGTTATGATCTAGATGACGGATGGAGGGAAGCCTCAGCAAACTTGCAGATAATACAAAGCAAGGAAGAGTGTTTGATATACTCTAAGAGCTTGCCCATTCAGAACAACCATGACAGGCTGAAGAAATGAAGCAACGCGGAGGCCCCATGATGTTCAATAATCAATTGAATCAAGAGAACATAACTCATATCGTATGGGAAATGTTGGCATTCTTCCCTTTTGACTTCCTGTTTCAAATCTTTATTCTAATGTGATATATAATAATGCAAAAAGTTGACTCTTCTAATAAATATCCTTGCAAGGTATTGAAGTGTATTGTGTCTATACATAGAAATATGACAGGTATTTTCATCATTTGATTTATTCATACTTTGAGATTGCTTGATTTTACAGAGAATCATTTTATTTTAATAAAAAAAAATCAAGCTATCTATTGTAACTGCATTATTAGTTTTAATTTCTTTAATAAACTCAAATGGTTTGCTTTTTTAGAAATTATAGATTTTCTACTTATTATTTGATTTATTTTAGGTTCTGTGTTCTTTGGAATTTGGGCACTGGATCTCGGAGGAACCATATGAACTTTCTTCCAACTTCCCAGCTGCTCCTGTAAGTTTAATTGCCCTTTAAGCTTGGTAACATTCTTTTGTTTCTCTGAGAAATGATTTGCCCTGTACACAGGTTTTGTGAGTGAGAATGACATATAGGAAAAAAAACCAAACTGTTAAAGAAAATGCCGTAAGGAGTTATTTTCTACATCGTCTTGTACTTTTTGAAGTGTGTACAACCACTAACTTCTAGAGAATTCTGCAAAACCTTTGGTATGCATAGAAAATACAAAAGATTGATTCACCAATTAAAAATTGAATCAATTTGCTTCTTTCTTAAGTACAAATACACTTTAATTTGTGGCTTATTTGATTACTATCTTCACTTGAATGAGATACTGGAGAGAGATGTTATTGCCTTATGAGATGTCTCAGGTCATGGCGTCAATGTTTTCAGTCCAGAAATGACTTTGAGGATGTAAAATTACTGTAAGCTTCTAAAACTTTTTTTTCCTGTCTTTAATTCTCACAATACTGTGTTACAAACTAATGCAAAAGTGTTTTTGTTGAAGTGTGGTGTATCTGTGCAGATCTAAGTGTATCTGCACATGTTGTAGTGGATTAGACACTAATTTAATTTTGGATATAAAATATTCTAGCAGGTTAGTAGTTGATTGCTGTAAGTTTGTCAAAAAGTTTTCACATTTTCTATTACACTGTTGCAGCTAGATAAATATTTTCTTATCTGCTGCTTGTTTCTCAAAGTTTCTAACAGACTTTGAAGAAAGAACATTTAATTGAGGTTGAATTTTATTACTACCATAGTTGTATTGACTGCTAAGGAGTTATTTTAAATGTTCTTTCTAAATCTGTATATTTTTGTAAACTTATGTGTTCAAGGTGAAGTCTTTATTTCATGATTTTAAGCTCTAAGTTCTCAAAGTGTAGGGAATCTGTAATAGTTTTCCTGAAATCAGCCCAAAGAAATTAATCATCAATTACAATTTTGTATATTTTCCTGAAGAATTCAGTTTTTATATAGCAAATACATGAATGGCAGTGTTTAATGTGAAGAATATATTAGCATGTTCTTTTCCTTTTTTTCTGCATTTGTACAAAAAAAAAAAAACAACACTATTTCAGGCCAAGCTGCTTTGAGTTTTCTGTTTCTTCTCAGACCACCTTGTCTCCTAAGTATGTTATCAGTAACAACTTGCACGGCATTCTTTGGAAGTGATTCCAGCTGGTGTCAGTTTCTAGATTCTGTTTACAGTTTTTATTCCCAATGCAGAACTTCAGAAGGGTGGAGAGATGGTGAGGAGATAAAATTGAAGGAGGTATGCATTGCTTTTTTGCAGGGTTCTTCTGTTGAGCAACAAAGTTGGTGTTGAAAGTCATACTTCCATCACCTTCCCAATCATTCCTTTCTTGAGTCATTCTGGAGTCCAACTGTAATAGATACCTTATATTTAAAGATAAGATCATAATATGAGCTTGGATGGAGTTTACACATCCTTTCTTATTATTTCTTCTTAAGAAGCAATATGGAAAATGAAAGGCTATTCTACTTTTATGTACTGTTTATTTGATTACAAGCAGGAAGTAAAGAAGGGATTGTATTACTGATGTATTCTGATTGTTTGCACCGAATCCAAAGAAATTGTTGCAGTCATCTTCCTATAGTATTCTTTCTAAAATATCCTCTTCTTTCTTTACTTTGATACTTCTAAGCAATGCAATCTCATTTAGATAATGTGATGATATCACTGTAAAACTTACTTACTCTAAAATTTTACATTCATGTTAATGAATAACTGCTCTAGTCTAATGGTTGGCAACTTTGCCCATGGCAGGCGAGTTAAAACTAGATGACCTTGAGGTTCTTTTCAATCCTGCCATTCTATAATTATATTTTAAAAATTAATTAAATGTCTTGTTAAACAGTTGATCTGCTAAAGATCTATCTCAGCATCTTTGATGAACTGTCATCAGAAGGAACCTTTTGCTTCATGCTTTTCCCCAGCAAATTGAAACTAACTATGCAGTGTATAGTTTTGTACCTTTGTTTTCTTACTAAAACAATGACGTTTAATAATCAGAAGTTGGCATCTTTTTTCTTGGCCAGGTTAAGCATGCGTACTGTGCCAGACTCCACTTCATTTTGTTAGAAGATTTTTTTGGGCTGAGTGTGTATGTTCACTGTCACAAATATTGGGAGTATTTTCTTTAGTCGTCTGATAAAATGCAGTGAGGGAGGAAGCATGTTCTTTCCATCCCAATTTTATGGAATCATAAAATATCCTAGATTAGGTAGTTCAATGCCCTGTTCTAAGCAGATCTAATTAGATGAAGATACTCATGGACTTTTCTGGTCCACCCTCATGGTATTAAACAAATAAATAGAAGTCCTGCTAAGTAGAATTTCCCAAATTCCAATTTACGTTCACTGTTCCACTACAGTACTCCTCCAAGAAGGGATCTGGCTCTGTCTTCTCTGTATCAGATAGCTGTAGGCAGCAGTAAGGTCTCCCCTTCCCCTTCTCTGGTCCAGGTAGAAAAATGCCGTCTCTTTTTGTATGTCGTATGCTGTAGCTCCCCTACTAGACTGGTCTTTACGTTTATGAATTTCTAAGAAATTAATTTTGTGAAGTGTTTTTTAGACTGACATCTGTATATCCTTAAAAGTTTCCAGGAGAAATAATAAATTACTTGAACCGTAATCTTAGATACATTGAGATTCTTGTGCACAACTCTTCAGATGACGATTGTTCATTTACACTTATTAAATTTATTTAGAATCAGTTCATGAGGTAATATTGGGAGTATTTTTTATCTGTGATACTCCTTAGTAGTGGAGATATACATTTTTGGTGAAGAAGAAAGGTGGTGTTGCAAGTGGTAGAGTACTCTGATAGCAGTTTTAATGACTTCCAGTATGAAATGTAATAAAAAAAAAAAAAAAAAGCAAATGTTACCATGTTACCCAGTAGATGAATTTATTCACATTGTGTCATACACAGAGGGCCTACTTCTTCATGGAGAATTTTGAGGAGGGGGAAAAAAAAAACAAACCAACATTATGTTCTTAGGTAACCTTCATATTTTTTTCCTGTTTTTTCAAATGTATTAATTTGTTTCTTAAGACAAGCATAAATTGAATTGCATCAAAGAACATCCACATAGTTTTTAGATTGTTTTTACAAAATGTTTGGATAGACCATGGTACCATGTGATAACTGATTGTGACAGGCAATCAGGCATCTGGTGTTACTGTTATTGTCTCCCTTTATAAAATACTGGTCAGTTATTTTATGGATACTTGACAAGGAAATAAAAAAGTGCAACCATCAGAACAATGTAAAGAAACTCATACTATATTATAACTTGCAGGGATTTTTCTAAATTAAAGATAGTGATCAATAAAACTGGAAAATAATAGTGATTTTGTACATGGCATTTTCCAAGAATAAATGCAAAGTCCTCCATTAAATAAAGTAATACAAACTATTGGAAAAAATCCCTGAACAAGTGTAAGAAGTTAAGAGGCTATGGGGGAGAGAATGTATTAAGTACTATATTAAGCTAATTACAGAACGATATATTTTTATGTACATAAACAGCAAACATACTCAGAGAGATAAATAGTTCTAGATCTAGGTAAGTTTTATATTAGAGTAATGTTTGAAGTTCAGTGACGAGGCAAAATGCGTATTTCTAAAACTATTTTAGATATTTTTCACAGTTCCAGTTATTCACTAACACATACATAATATAAATGATCAGTAAAACACAGTCCTTCGGTTGTCTGACAGTTTCTTGGATATTCTTTTTATTCAGTCATTTGGCCAAATCACTGTTATATCGGGTTGGTGCCTTAGGCTTTGTGTCTAGTTGAATAATATGTGCTTTAACTGATCAAGACTATTGCAATTCAAGGATTGGAATGAGCTGATCTCTTCAGAATGCTAGTGCATGTTTTCTGGGCTTGAAAATGAGAGTTGCAGATGTGTTTATATGCTTGGCAAGTAAAGTTTTTGAAGACTATACAATACAAAATTCACATAAGAATGCAAAAGCATTTAGAAATCTGCTGGTCGAATCATCATAGTCGTGGCTTTGAGAGAGTATCCCGAGCCTTTCCAGTAGTACCACTTAATACCATTGAACTTGTTGTTGTTCTGTCGTAACGGATAATACATTCCATTGAGGTTAGAAGGACCACATGCATCAAACCACCACCCTGCAAGACCAGAACACAAAGATAAATACCAGCAAATGAAAATGTCAGCACAGATAATTTTTAAAATAGCATACATGAAGCTTTTAACACTTTATTGTCCCAACATGAGAAACAAATCCAAATCCAGCATTTCGTTCTCACGATTTTGAAGTGTTAATATAAGAGATTTACCCCCAGCCCAGTATGGAAAGGTATTAATTACATATTCTTAAAGCTTAATGTAATTCCTAGGAGTTTAAAGTTGAAAAGGGAAGGTATTCAATCTACCTTACTGATGTCAGCTATTATTGACAATTGAAGGGTAGAACTTTACTCAAACTGTAATGATATTGCATTTTCTTTGCTTTTCATCTGCCCTTTTGTAAATTCTTGTTCTTCACAGATGTTAATTCCTTTCTTAATTGTTTTTAGAGGATTAATTCAGTTATTTGTTTTAGTTCTATGTGCAGATCAGTTCAAAACAACTGTGTTGAAACTTGGTAAGGAGGAAAAAGCAGCCCAAACTTATTTTGCATCTTTATGGTCCTGACCTGTTAGTTGGTCATAGGGAAAATTTATTTTTATTAATAAGATAATATTTTGATACTTCTGTTATGAAGGCGATAATGTGCGTGTTCTGTTTTACAGGGCAGCAGTCCAATTATCTTTTTGTGCTATAGGGAAACAAAGCATTTCTTAAGAGATAACTGGAAGACAAGTCAAACTTACAAAAGCAGTTGTTTGCACTACAGACTGTGGAAGGCCAGATTGACAAATTATAGAGTGACTTGTGTAGCTAAAGGTAAAAACTTCATTGAAAACTCCAATAGCTTATGAACAGT